CTCCTGGGATCCAAAAAAATGTTTTATTATATAAAAATATTTTAAAGACACACACAACTAAAGAGGATGGTAGGAGGAGCCCCCACATTATCTGTCACCCAACTTTGAGAATTATCGTTCTTTGCTAACTTTTCCATTTCTTTTCCTCCCCCTCTCATTTTTAAAAACTGGAGTATTTAAAGCAAAAACCCCAAAGCCTCATTTCACCAGGAACATTTCTATAATTGGAACGAAAAAGGCTGTTGCGTGGCCCTGCGTTTCTGTCCCTCTAGATCTGCTGGTGCTGGAAGCCAGGGTGTAAAAGTCAGCGGGGCTGTGGATTCCCGGGAGGCGCGGACAGGGAGGGGCTGTGTGATCTGTTTGCCCTCGGTCTGGGGTACTCCTTTGCTGATCAGCCTCCAGCCTCGGAAGTCATGCTTTTCTCAAATGGTTAAAATCAAATATCTGGCTCCCTGCTAGCTAGAGACATCTGCGGAGTGTTGCTTCTGAAACTATTTTTGGTGTGAAAATGTCACTCGAGTTGCTTGAAGCTAGCTGTCTGGAATGTTTTGAGGGTTGAAAGCAGCGGACTGCAGCCCTGGCTGAGGCCAGGCGGGCACATGGTCCTGTGCTCTCCTGTGCATCGGCCGCTCCTGTGCTCTGATGCTCTGAGTGCTCAGGCGGCCTTGAGGGTGTGGGGAGGAGCGGCTGGTGGTGTGATAGAGGGGAGCCCCACTGAGTGCCTGGCCTTCCTCCTATCTGTGCATCTGGCCTGCCCTCCTTGGAAGACCAGCCTGCTGCCCGTCTGGAGAATGCAGGGGCGTGCATTTGCTGATGGGTTTTGCCAGGTAAGAGAGATGAAGTTTCCAACTTCCTGTGTCCCACACAGGGTGCCAGGAGTCAGGCTTCCCAGGCTGCACCAGACAAGGAATAGTAGAAAGAGCAAACGGGAAGTATAGCCACAACGGAAATAGCAAAGTTCTAGAGAGGAGGAGCCTGAAAAGAGTAGGTCGGACAGGAAGCCACTGAAAGTTTAAATTACTGCAGCGGTTAACGTGGAGGAAGGGCAAAGCGGACAGATTACCCCGATGGCCACTCCTTCTTTCTTCCCCTCCGTTTGCACATGAAGAAAATTCCAATGAGTTCCTCACATGTCATCAATGCCCGCCCCATGTGCCACTTCTGATTAGAGGTCATATAACCTTCTGCCCCTCTATGTCTAGTCAGAGGGAAAGCCAAACCCCCGCGGGCTGTGGGCTCCTCTCCATGTGCTCAATAAAAAGGCCACTTTCTTTTTTTGCTTCTCTATTGCGCCAGAAAACTCTTAACAGTCACTTTATAGAGATGACCATCAGAATGGGGAACAGGTTAAATCCTGGGCCCCAACCTGCTATTTGTTAAAAAATATGATTTGGTGCTGGGGATTTAGCTCAGCGGCATAAACGCCTGCCTTGTAAAGCAGGCAGTCATGAGTTCGATCCCTGGTACCAGTAAAAAGGAAAAAGACAAAAAAATATATATATGATTTATGTTTTGGGCTGGGACAGTCAGGGACTTAAAGGCCATTTTTACTTAAAGGCCATTTCATGACTTCGCTTGGGCCTGCAGATGTCCATTAAGTAAAAAAGACAGAATGAAACTTGACCTTCCTTTCATTTTGTATTCTTTGTTACTGTAAATGTTGGGTCAGGTCCTCTCAGCTCTGCAGAGGGGCCTGTTGATCGTTTAGGGAGTCTGTCCAGGAGCTGAGCAGACAGCTGATTGTCCTGAATTTGCATGACCTTATCCACCTCCAAGACTGAGGACACCAAGATAAGGGGGTCAGCTATGCCCAGTCATTGTCTTGAACCTGGAGTCACCTGGATTCCAGGAAAGGTGGAGTCCTCATGGCTGAGACCACCACAGACTTAGACAGTCTTTTCCTGGAAATGGGAGCAGTTCCCAACCATGAGGATTCCAGAGCAGCCACAGCAAGTCTGAGATAAAGCCGATCAGCTAATCCTTCCTTCAAGATTGGCCTCCACGTTTGTGGGTGGTCTTGTCTGAACCCCTATATCAGAGTGTGTCCTCCCCAGCGACCTGAGCTGGGGTCCCTGCTTTCCCTCTAATTTTAACATTTTTCCTGCACACATAGGCTTTAGTTTTAAGAAAGTGAGGACCCATACTGGCCAGCACCATGGGCCCTCGGGCGTGGGGAAGAGGAGAGCAAGGTGGAAAGGAACCAGGGTTCCCAGCTGGTGAGCGTGAATCAGGTGAGGCTGGAGGCTGGCTTCTGAGACCTTGGGGTAGCACCCTGTCTTTGATGGGCTCAAGAAAGATAGAATACCTAAAATGGAAAAGATTCCCAAGTGGGGTTCCCCCCTTGTCCCCTACCCTCATTCCCGGGGTACTTGGGAATAGGTGGTTAGGGCTCGGGCAACAGTGAGGGGTCTCAGGGCACCTCCAGCACCACTGGCCCCTCCCCTCCTCCACATTCCTAGGTACAGGACTTGCGCTCTTTTTTCTTTCTTTCTTGAAGCAAAGTCTCACTAAGTAGTGCGGGCTGCCCTTAACTCACTTATGTAACCCAGGCTGGCCTTGAACTCATGGTGCTCCTCCTGCCTCAGCCTCCCGAATGCCGGGATTACAGGCATGTGTCACCATGCCTGCTGAGTTTTGGTTTATGATTTGGCAAGTGAGCGATGTGGAAGCCACCACTCCATCCTAACAAGTAAAAACCAAGCAAGCTCTTCTTAGGCTCATCTGTTAGAGAAGCAAGGACTCAGGGCACGTGGCTGTCCCTGTGGTGGACAGACAGACAGGTGGCTAGACAGCCACAGAACCAGTGCCGGTGGGGAAGCTGAACGGCAACTGAGGAATTGCGGGTGGCCCTGAGGGAACAGGTCAGGGACCCCATGCTTTTGTGTATTCTATTGCCAGGAACTGAGCCAAATTCTTGGTGGAGATAGAGAAAAATCCCCTGGAGCTTCCAGCGCAGGGAGGAGCCAAGTAACCACTGTGCAGTACGCCGGTGCCACTGGTCTTCTTTCTTACCAAAGCCTGGCCTGCGGGGACAATTTTACCAGAGCCTGCTCTGCTGGAGGACCACAAGCTACTTACCTCTGTAGTCATCCTGTCCCACATGAATGGAGGGACAGCACACACTGTAGTTAGGGAAAAGATGAAATGAAGCCTCCTTGAGCTTTACTAAAAGTATTTTTTTGAGGGAGACAGAGTCCTACTAGTAGTGCAGGCTGACCTTAAGCTCGATTACGTAACCCAATGGCCTTGAACTCACAGGGATCTTCCTGCCTCGGCCTCCTGAGTTCAGTGTTGACCTCTGCAGACAGACTCCAGCAATTAGAGTCTAGTCTAATTAGACTCTAAGGAATTAGACAGGCTGCTAACCTCAGCAATTAGAGTAGACAGGTAACGGAATCAGGACAGGGAAGTTCCTAGGGAGCTCGATACACAAACCTCCTCTTCACTTCATCCTTCAGCCTAACCTACTCATAATCTTACCCTCCGACAAAGGCCTGGGAAAGGTCACGTGGCTGGAGGAATCCAAGATTAGGGTGAAAGACAAACCAGGGTGCCAGTGAGGTTCTGAGAATCTTAGAAGTACAAAGATCTCAATAAAAGAAGCTGCAGGTGAGAAATTCACAGGCACTTCACTGTCCAGTTCTTCCTTTTGGTCCCATGTAGCTTTCCCCATCTTCAAATAAACCATTTCTTATTATTTTGCCTTTTTTTTTTGGCAGCGGGGATCGAACTCATGACCTCACACTTACAAGCAGGTGCTTGTTCCACTGTGCTAAATCCTCAGCCCCTTTTGTTTTTGAAGAGACGGGGTCTCGTGTAGTCCAAGCTGACTTGAACTCAGCCAGCAGTGGCCTTGAACTTGCGGATGATCCTCCTGCCTCAGCCTTCCAAATGCTGGGATTACAGGCATGCACCGCCATGCCCGATTTTTAAAACTTTAAACTGCCTATTTATTTCTTTACTGACACTGGGTTTATGATCAACGGGAACTATATGTTCCAGCAGGGCAGTGACTTGCTGCCCTCCCTGGATGTTACAGGGTGGTGTAGTGTACAACTCCCCCGAGATGTCACATTAGGAGCTGGAAAAGAGAAACCCTAGAGGCACAGTGAAGGCCTAGCCCAGGGCGTGGCAGTAAAGCCTGAGTCCCCATGGGGCCCACGCAGCACCTCCCTTCCCCACCTCTTACCCTGGCCCAAGGCCTATTTATTACACAGCGTTTCACCTGGAGCAGAATGTCTGCTATTATCAGGCTCTGAAAGGCAAAACGCAGTTGGAAGGAAGAGACAGAGCAAGCATCAGAACTAGAGTCAAGCCACGCATATGGGATTAGCAGATGAGGGATGCTTCAGAGCCCCAGTGTTAACACACTACAGGCTCCAGTGTAGCCGAGCACAGACCACCTCGGGCTTTCCAGCTGTCTCAGCCCCTTAACAGGAAGCTGCCGGCCGGTGCAGCCTCGTGAGCTTTCGGTGGGATCTTACAATGTGACACAATCCTCACACTCCGCCGCGGCCGGTAGGTTTTCCAGTGTCCCTGAGCTTGGGCCATTTTTCACTGGCACAGGAAAGAAGCCAAGACTGTGAGGGTGGGTTAGGGTGTGGCCTTTTTCTAGCTGCATGTTTGCAGGAAGGGAAAAGCCAAGAAGCTGGGGTTATGGGAAGTAATTAAAAAAAGTCTTCCTGGCAGCTGAAAGGGCCCACAAAATGTTCTTCTGGCCTTCTTGTTTTGTAGATGGGAAACAGGCCCAGAAAAAGAACATGTATTGTGTAAGATGCTACAGTGAGTGGGTAGCAGGAAACTTTCAAGCTAGGGGAGTTGGCCTTCAAGACCGGCATGGTCCCCCAAACTCTGTCAGTGCTGCCTCTCCCCACCAGGGGGCTCACTGAGCGCTGCATAGCTGGAAGGATGGCTGAGCTCTACCAGTTAGCTGGTGGGTGCGGCAGGGCCGACTCACTTTATCCTGAGGTTCAGAATTCTTTGCAGAAATGAGGCAGGAGTTATTTCCCGATGTTGGGAGTACACATGATTTTTATTTTCTCCCCTTTAATTTCCAAGGCTTTTCTAAAAATTTTACAACAAATATCTATAATTCCATAATCTGCTCTCCAACCAGTTCTTTTTTTAATTTTATTTTTCCCCTCAACTTTAACTTCTTTTTTTTAACCTTAGTGTTTAAAAGAAAAAAACTGAAGAGCAGGGAAATGCCTGGCTTTGCATTGAGATCCATCAAGCAGGGCCAACCAGTATCTGTCACACCAGGCAGAGGCTCTGTCTGCAAGCAGCCGAGAAGGTCCGCCAAGGCAAGCTGGTGCCCACGGCCGCCTGGGCAGCTGCCTGCCTCTACCTCGTCTTTGCCCCCGCTACGCCCACTCCCAAAGCGCCCATCTCCACAGCCACACTGGACTCAGTTTTTGGAGCCCACACCAATTCCGCCCCCTGGTGGGAAGGAGTTTCAAAGCCCACTTCCCCCAGCTGTGATGACCCGCGTTTCTCCTCTCTGACCATCAGTAGCACTTTACTTGGATCTGTTCTATAAAACTTATCCTACCTTGTCCTCTTGTCATTTATATGCAGTTCTGTCTCCCTCATGGACACATGGGCGTGGCCTTTGTATTATTTATCTTTTTTTTTTTGAGACCAGGTCTAACTGTATAGTTCAGGCTGGCCTTGAACTCACTTGATCCTCCTGCCTCAGCTTCCTGAGTGCTGGGATAACAGACGTGCATGACCATGCCTGCCTGCATGCCACACTTCAAATGAGTGTTGAACTTATGTGACCTGAAATGATCATCTCCTAAAAGAGGAAGCCTATGATATACCAGTTTATGGCAGGGTTTGTTGACCTCTGCACTGTTGACATCTTAGGTTGGCTAATTCTATGCAAGGGAAGCCGTCTCGGATAGCAGCATATGTGGCCTTGATCTACTAGATGACAGCAGACACCTCCAGTTGTGACAACTCAGAATATCAACACTGCCAATCGTTCTCTGCAGAGCAAAGTGGCCTCCTATGGAGAAGCCTCTGACTGTCTCTTGGGATGGTTGGGGTGTTTATCTGATGGATGAGAGAGAGGTGAGGTTTTGGAGAGCGGAATGAATCTCACATCTAAGTTTCCTATTCCAAATCCAGTGCTCACCCCTCCATCCTGGAGGTCTCGAAGGACTCTAGCCGCGCTTTCCTTCTCCACTTGGTGTGTCCGTCCACTCCTCCCCGCCTGTTGTGGATCCCACCCTGTGCCCTTTCCTCTCCCCCACCATGGCCTGTGCCAGGCTGTGACCCACTGGTTGGTCCTGCTGTTGTTGCAGACGGGATCTCAGGTTGTGCCAGGACACACCTGTCACATCTTTTTCAGCTCCTTGGGCTCATCCCCGTGTTTGAACACACTGATGGTGACCTGGCCCGTCTCGGAGCCATACTTGTTCTTGACAAAGACACCGTAGCGTCCACTGTCCTCACTGGTGACCTTCTCGATGGTGATGGTCACCTCTGTCCCCCTCACATCCATGCGGTAGCGGTCCAGGAAATTGACGGGCTGATCATTCTTCAGCCAAAAGATTTCAGGGGCGGGATCCCCTGAGATGACGCAGGTCAAGCACAGGGTCTGTTTCAAAGGACAAGAAGAGAACAGTGTCACCTCCTGTGACTTGACCTTGGCATTCACGCTAATGTCCCAGAGAGCTCCTAGGACAGGTAGTTCCTGGGATTAAATTCATGATGGATGCTTTATTGGAACCCATGCAAGGGACCTTTTATTTTAACCCCACATTCTCTACCCTCCATCTTTCTACAGGAACCCTGGAATTTTAGGCCATCCTCACTCTAGCAATTACCTGTCCCAGAAAGGTCTGCATATTGATTTATTGCCATACATATGTCATTCAATTTTACTTTGCAAGGAGATCACATTGCTTTAGTACACAGATACATGAGTTGAGTTGGAAAATTCTCAAACAAGACCCAGTGCAGAGCACTAGAGTGGTTAAATATGCAGACTGTCGGATTGGGCTGCACAGGGATGTGTTCAGCCTTAGGGGTCTGCGACCTTAGAAAATCCGTTAGGCGCTCCGGATCTTGGCTTCCTCAACTAGAGACTGTGATACCTCATTTCATGGGGTCGCTCTGTGTCACTGGAATAAGGCCTGGCACAGAGATGCCACCCTAAAAATAGCTATAATTTTTCTGTTTGTTTTTTGAAACAGGGTCTCAGTATATAGTTGAGCCTGGTTTTGAACTCACAGTGATCCCCCCGCCTTGGCCTCCTGAGTACTAGGATTACAAGTGTGCACCACCACACTCTGTTGTAACTATAATTTTTGAAGTTACTAGATTTGTATAATTCTATCCATAAAAGGAATTTTAGGGATCATTCTGCTGAACACTTATGGAAGTGGAAGGCATTGATGGGGTTGAGCTGGGTGGAGCAGTACTGACACTAGGCTCAGTACCTTTCTCTCATATGTAAGTAGTCAGTGACCCGTGGTCCCCTGCAGATCTAGTGCCTAGAGGCACTAGTGCCTGTGGCTAGAGCCACAAACCTGACAGTCTCATGATCTGGGATGACTCGGTTCTTAGGAATACAGAGGGTGATAGCTGGCATGGCCAGCGGGTCGGTACCTTGTCTTCCATGATGGTGGCCACGTCTGGCAGCCCCCTCACTACCTTGGCTCGATCTGGAAGGGAAATGGGAGAGGCCAACAGTAAATACTTTGCTGCCAGCCACTTGTGGGGCAGGTCTCCTTGGAGCTGAGGTTTATTTTTAAGTAAAGCTTCTTTCAAGTTTCAGCAGTTTGGATGGAGATTTTTAAGACTTATTTGCTTTCTTGTCTTTACAAGTAGAAGACACAGGACATGCTGTGTTCCTGCTGCTGAACTGTGGTAATTACGATTTGACCCTCAGTACCTGGGGGTGACAGAGAGGTACCCTTGGCCTCAAAAACTCAGAAAGAAAGCAAATAATATTGTTCTGAACTTAGACTGACAACACCCAGTGATCAGTCAGCTAAGTTAGGGAACCAAGACGAGATGTCCCAGCTTTTAGAACACGATGACTCTGATCCAGCAAAGGGCCAGGTGGCCACTGTGGGAGGGCAGGAAGACAGCGTGGCTGCAGATCCCAAAGCAGAAAGCTCAGTATGTTCCCTGTGCTGCTGTGCCGCCCCAGGGAGGGGAAGAGGCGCTGGGCATGGCCCCAGGCTCTGCATGCGGATGTGCAGAGCCCGGCCTGGACGATGTCTGTGCAATGCACTAAGGGGAGCAGGGCCCTGGATCCACCAGGGAAGTCCCCAGCATGGGCACGGTGGGACAGGGATACTTGCCAGGTGCTCGAGTGAAATGATCCACGTCCTTCACTGGTTCCGATTCCACAAGCCCCAGCAATCACATGTTAGTGAGTTCAACTATTAGGGCCCCACACGGAGCACCCTGTCTAGGGACATGGCATTTCAGGGGGTGAGGAGACATTCGAGCTGGGTAAACGGTTAAGGGGGTTCTGTGGGGCCTCCTTCAGGAGCAGCAGGCTGAGGCTGGTGTCCCTTTAACCCTGCGAGGGCTTCTCCTTGCATAACCCCTTAGACATCTTGATGGCCCTGACCATACCTAGGAACTCAAGGCCTGTATTTCCTGTGAATGGGGACAACGAAGTCCTATAGAGAAGTGCTCAACTGCTGTGCTGGCAGCTTTCAGTGCTCCTGTCCACTTCTTTTTTTTGTCTTTTTCTTTTTTATCGGTACCGGGGATCGAACTCACAACCCCACACTTGCAAGGCAGGCGCTTATGCTGCTGAGCTAAATCCCCAGCCCCCCTGTCCACTTCTTGAAGCCGTCCAGCCTCCCTCCTTGTGGTCAGGCTGGCGGGGCTATGGCTATGGCTCTGCTGCCCATGCCTGTGCCTCACTGAAGCGCCCCCTTCCCGTGGCTGCCAGTGAGACAGGACGCCCAGAGCCCCAGTACTGGGTCACAGAGCCCATGAGGGGCTCGTCCTCAGCCACGACCTCCGGGTCCTGGAACTTGTCCATGCATCTCCACATTGCCTCGGCCCAGGTCTCCCCAGCAGTCCTCGGACTCTAGGAGCCCTCCAGGGGCTTGAGCTCCACGGATGCCCACCCAGCATCCAAAGCAAAACCACAGAAGCACAGGGTCTTACTCTTCTCGATGATGGCCAAGGCTCTGAAAAACAGAAATGGGAGGGAGGTGTGGGTTCCATCTGTCCGGGGACTGTCCTGCCCTGTGGGGGTTGGGGTGATGGGGGAAAGGTGGAGCTCCGGGGTCTTGAGTGCAGTCCAGGCCACCACCCGGGTGAGGCCTGTGGTCTGCACTGAGAAACGTCAAGAAACTTACTTCAGTCTCTGGTGTTCGGCCAGGGCGTCATCAAAAGCTGCAAAAAGAAAAAGGTGGTGGGGAGCATCAGGCCTCTGCAGGGGGCCCCAGGCAGGGCTCCGCCCCAAGTGTCCTCCATTCTCCTCCCCGTTCCGGTGTTCTCTTGGGGCGCTGACAGGATGGGGCGTGGAGAAGGGAATTTCCTGGATGTTCACCTTGCCCTGAGAGGTCCACTGAGAGCTGCCGGGCTTCCTTCCCGGCGGCTATTTCCAGGGTGTATTTGCCCTTGTCTGAGTCTTTGGGGTCCAGGATGTGCAGCCAGATCTCATCCAGGGTGGTGCCTGCTCTGAACCGATCACCGCTCTCCAGGCGCTTGTCTCTGAGTGTGGCGACAGAGAAGAGGTCAGCATTGGCGCTGCAGGTCTACTCCTGACCTGGCCAAGCTCCTCTCTTGGGCTCCAGGCCATCCCTAAGACATGTCATGTGCACCCACACACTTTCCCATTCATTATTCAATCGACGCTCCATTCATTTATCCTGTGGCATCTCAACTACGCACAGGTGCTGCATTGTCATGTGTCCTGAGGGGTGGACCCCAAGAACACGGTGTGCGAGGGGCAGTGACTGCCACTTCCTCCACCCCAGGAGCCACTTCCTCTCCCCTTCATCCTCCTCTTAGACCTTCCAGGGTTCCTTCCTATAATCCTTCTCCATGAACCATTCAGAACGATACTCAGTCAGGTTGAAGTCTTTCCTTTTTACTTAAATTTCATGCCTGAAGACACCTAGCACAAGTCCCAGGATTCTGTTGCCCCTGCCTGTTGCCAGGGCTCAGAAACTGGCTGCAGAGGGAGCCCCACTGTCCTGAAATTCTCTCTGACCTTGGCTCTGCTGCATTTGACACACTTGACCAAGCCCGTCTGTAGAATGGGCACAGCAGTGTCTGTGCTATGAGGCTGAGCGTATAATAAGAAGCCTGGGGGAAATTCTGCTCTCAAACTATCTGGGGTGACCAAGCTTTTGGCCGCATCTCTGTGGATACGTTATCTATCCTGTGTTCCAGCCCTGACCTTCAGTTGGTAGTTGGCCTCACGGGTTTCTCTCTTTGCACCTTCTCCATGACCCTGGTGTTCTGAGCTTGCTAAGGCTGCAGAGGCCCGTGGGCACCATGACCCACTGGACCGCCTGGCTCTTCTTTGTTCCTGTGTCTCTCCCTCTGCCACTTCCCAGGGGTGCTCTGAGATCGTGCTCCTTCTGAGGACGTGGCTATTCCAGGGCAAGGTCCTAGCAACATGATTCCCATCGCATTTCTACTGTGCTGACTGCAGATCCCTGCCCTCAGCTCTGACTGTGGACAGCAGGGCCTGTGTGAAACCCTGGCCCATGCCAACCTCCTGGGACCAGGCTGTGCTGGGAGGACTCAGCAGGGCAGGAGGGATGCCCCCGTGGGCAGGGTCCACCTACTTGTGGAACCAGGTGGTTTTCATGTAGTCCACGTTGTAGTACTTGACCTTGCTGAAGATCCGGATGCCCTCCTCAGTTCCCTGGATCTTCAGTGGAGTCGCGGAGAGGGCTGCAGAGGTCGAGGAGAAAGGCAAGTCCCTCCCGAGTCCCTCTGGGCGGCATGCTTTGGGGCCAGCCTGCTCTCTCCTGCTCTGGGGTTGGGGATGGGGTGGGGACCTAGATCTGTGGGGAGGCAGGAGCATCTCTCCTGGTCCTTGAAGGAGGGCACAGACCCACTCCCAGCAGCCAAGGCAGGTGGGAGGCCCCGTGAGGTGCTTGGGCGTCGGTGTAGGGCTGGGCAGAGGCAGGCTTGCTTACCACTGATCCTGCCCAGCTCAGTGAAGATGGCATCCAGGTCTGGAGGGAGACAGAGAAGGGTCAGCTGGCGCAGGCTTCCCCAGGAATGTGAGGGGTGGGGACACTCTTGGACAAGGCGGTGGGAGCTGTCCTTGGGCCCAGGGAGCTCTGCAAGGTGACTGCAGAGTGGAGGGTGTCTGAGGCACTCAATGATGGGTGAGCAGAGGAGCTGACTTTTCTATTTTCTTGCAGACTGAGCCGAGCAGAGAGCGAGCGCAGGCTTTGGGCTCAGAGGGTGCACTGCAGGGCCTGGGTGTCACAGCCACATACTCCAGGGCCCCGCCTCACTGTGCAAAGTCGGGCAAGTCACTAGACCCCTCCCTGCGTCAGTGTCCCCCAGTGACCTGGAGATTTCACAAATCTTACCCCCAGGTCATATCGCAGTCTCTTGCTCCAGACTGACCCGCCTCAGCCCTCCCAGCCCATCTCGAACATCGCCAGCTCCTACCTTCACCTGTGAGGTCCAGGATGGTGTCGTCCTCCCCGCGATCATCGGAAACCTCTGCTCTGTAGATCCCCTTGTCCTCTTTGGACAACTGGAAAGGAAGGTGAGAGGTGGCGGCATCAGCGTGGGCTCCCGGAGGAGAGGCACCACCTCAGAAGGGCCGTGCTTTCTGTGTGACTCCCGAAGGCCTTCTCCTCCTGGGCCTCAGTTTATTTCTCTGGGCTCCGGACAGTTCAGACCCTGTTGATTTCTAGCTCAAGGCTGGTCTGGACCTAGGGAAAAGGGGAGACTGAGGGCAGAAGTGGATGCCTCTCATTTCCCAGCCCCTTCTTTGGGGCTTGGGGGTATTATTTGCCTTCCTGTCCCCTCAGCAACCTCTCTGACCCACCCACTGCTACACAGTGGGTCTGGGGCAGGACTAAAGGCGTGGCAGCTCTTTTAATCAGGGACTGAGGGGCTGCACCCTCTGATCCTTTCCTATGGCTTTCTTCCTCTCTTCCGTGCACCAAAGACCCTAAAGTCTCTGCCCTACAGGAAGTGGGTGATTGAAGTGACTGCTGACCCACTCTCTAGCTTTGGGTTCTTGAATTCATTCCTCTGAGCCTCAGTGTACTCATCTGTAAAATGGCAGCATTATCCTCATTCTATCCACCTGCTGCTGGTGCTTCAGAAAGCCAGGAAGCTCTGTAACAGCTGGTACCCCACAACCATGAAACACCTACTTGATGCCAGGCCCTGTTTGAGGGGCCTGCCCTGTGGTGACAGGTGGATGACATGGTATTGCCAGGATTTACAGAAGACCCTGAATTGTTATTTTGGTCCTAATAGCTGTACAAACGTGGGCAAGCTAGATTGCTCCAGACTCCTTGAGGCCAAGGGGCACCAGCATCAAGGCAAAGAAGCATGGGCCGGCCAGGATCAAGCCTATATTTCTTCCCTCTTCTGAAGGCCCTGGCTGTGGCGGAGGACTTGAGTGGGAGAAGTGAGCTCCAGGCCCACTTTGCTGTGCTCAGAACTGCCTGTCCTCAGGCCGGGGCTGTGGGAGCAGGAAGGGTTGTTGACAGAGTATCTTTCTGATCCAGGCATCTTACTGATGAAGCCGAGGTCAGAGATGGTTAGCTTAGGCCTGGAGCCCAAGCAGAGGGAAAAAAAGCAGTAATACTGGTTTTATCTTTGTTGGAAATATTATTTTTTTCTTCATGGTCTTTTTGGGGGCACTTATTTTGATTTTTTAAAAATCTCACACAAAATATAGTTTATCATGATTATTGTGTTTTTTGGTACTCCTTAAATTTTGAGCCTCAGGGTGAGAGTCTTGCATACCTTACCCAAGTCCTAGCCCTGCTCTGGACCCTGGCAAGCCTGTCATGCAGCTAATAGAGGATGTGAGCCCCGGAGCAGGAAGTGCCTTTACCTCTTCAATGCGAATTAACCCTTCACCAGTCTGCGGGTCATACTGACCATCTGGCACCTCTCTCTTCCGGAAAAACCACTGAAAGCGAGTCTCCTTCTTGGTATTGGTCACCTGCAGATGGTAGGAAGTAAAGGACTCTATCACTCTGTCTTCTTTTAAGTAAAAACTCAACTCATCACAACTTCCTGTTACAAACATGACTCCCTCCCCCACGTCCCGCCATCTCCCAGCCCATGATCAGACTGAAGGCTGGGTGTCCCCAGTTAAGTTTCTGCTTCTCTATCCCTTCCCGATTCTGTTTTCCTTGCAAATGTCTAGCCCCCCATACTTGGGACGGAACCCAGGGCCTTATGCAGATGCCCCCAGCCCATGCCTTGACTCCTTAGACTCAGATGTCACCTCCTCCAGGATATCTTCTGCCTCAGCCCCTGCCCCATTGTGATTAATCAATTTCCTGCACACATCTGCTTGAACAAGAGGCATCTTGCTTTCCAAGGATCCTGCCTTAGACCATGGGCTTGCAGAGCCTAAAGAAACCAGGTCTGCAACCTTGTGTGTTCAGTATCTGGCACTTAGTAGGTACTTTGAGTTCACTGGGTGAATCTCCTTCTGGGGAAATAATCCACCCACCGACCCTGCCCCTCCCCAGTTATCCTGGGATAGACAGGAGGAGGCTCTGGAGTCGGGCCTTCAGTGGTTAACACCTGGCCTCTGCCTGTGGTCTGGAAAGATTTGCTCTTTCATCCATAAAGTGAGGATAACATTGCCTATCTCACAGACATGGGGAGGTGGATGAAATTAAATACTGCTGTGACCCCCTAAGCACTGCTGACACAAGCACAGTGGACCCCTCGCTCTCTGGCTCACAGGCGCCCTGGCCTCCCTGGATGCCTTTGGAGACTCCTGCTGCTGCTTCCCAAGTGAGAGATCAGCAAACACTGGCGATGGAATTTGGGGCGTGGGGTGGGCAGGGCAGCCAGCAGGACAAGCCGCAGGCTGGAGGTGGGGCAGGGACTCGCCTTGCACGTCAGCAGCACTTGGCAGTCCTCGGTGACCTTCCACTGCAAAGGTTCCTGGAAGTAGGGACCTGTGGGTCCAAAACAAACACACCCACCCGTCAGCGCCCCAAACTGAGGCGGGCGCCACCTGGTGGCCACACGGGGGAAGCCAGCCTGGAGGAGGCTGCAAAGGACCGCTGGGCTTAAAGATCCAGATGCGGGGGTCTGGGGTAGTTCAAATGCTGGTTTGATCTGGTACCGGGAGAGAGGTGGACTGAATCGCAGTGGGCCTCTCTGGGGTGGGGGTAGGGTCCTCGTAACCCCAGGTCTGCCGTTCTGCAGTACAGCGGCCAGCCAAGGCCTTTGACCTCCGACCTCCGACCTCCGTCCCGCAGCTCTTACCCTGTTTTCTCTTCCAGTCTTTTCTCTTGGCATCCGCCTTCCTCAGAAGCTGGTCGAAATCTGTGAACACAGTGGGAGGGGCTGGTACCATCTGAGAAGAGTGCTGGTGCCCAGGGGGACATCAGGTGGCCAGGAGACAGAGGTGGGTGGGGGAGGGGCTCAGCAGGCCCCTGAGTGGGGGTTGGGGGAGGCTGGGGAGCAGCAGGATGCTGACCGTCGTCCACCAGGGCCAGGGTGATCTGGTTTTTGGCTTTTCCATCCTGGAGCTGCGCAGTGTAGGAGCCTTTATCATCCTCTGTCAATTGCTGGATGATCACCTCAACCAAGCCCTTCTCACGGTCAAAATTGATTGTGCGGTTCTGGGAAGAAGCAACGGAGTGAGTTCCCTAACTTGGGAACAGCTTGTGGACCATGCGTCAGGGTGGAGTTGAGCTTGGGGAGAGGGGTGTGAACCACGGACAGTGATCATCTTTCAGAGACCCTGTTCTGCCCGTGTGGATTGGGGTGCCCCAGCTACGGGGCCCTGGAAGATACCCTGGATGCTTGAGTTAATCTCATGGTAATAATAACCCCTCACCCCTGCTGTGACTTCTTGTTGGTCATTTCCTACTCCTTTTACAGTTTCATAGAAACACCATAAAAGTATATGAAGAAAAAAAAAGTATATGAAGGTCCTGGGCCTGATGGTACATGTCCTTAATACCAGCACTTGGGAGGCTGAGGCAGGAGGCTCACCATGAGTTTAAGTTCAGCCTGAACTACACAGCAAGACCTTGTCTAAAAAAAAGAAAGAGTGGGCTGGGGATCTGGCTCATCGGCATAAGCGCCTGCCTTGCAAGCAGGCAGTCGTGAGTTCGGTCCCTGGTACCGATAAAAAGGAAAAAGACCAAAAAACAAAAACAAACACCTATATACTGCTACCCAGAACTAACTCTTCTCTACAGTTTGCTACATTTCAACAGTTTAAAAACTTTCATTTTTCTCCTTTAGGTCTTTATTTCCTCTGGTTTTGTGTATATATGTATGATTTGCTGGAATGATCTAATTTCCCTCTTTCTCTCTCTCCATCTCCCTCTCTTCCTCCCTTACTTCCTCCCCCTCCCAGTCTCCATCTGTCTCTGTCTGTCTGTCTTTCCTTTCTCCCGGGAATTGAACCCAGGGTCTTCCTCATTCCAAATACATTCTCTACCGCTGAGCTACACCCCTAGTGCCAACCCATGTTCTCTGATGGCCGATTTGCCGCCTGGAGATGAAACCACACACCACGTGAGGCTGCGCCCTGAGCTTGAATCTCTCACAAGATTGGCAATCGCCGTGTTTGCAAATCAGAGCAATTGAGGGCCAGCAACCTAGCTAACAAAACCTGCCTGCTTAACGAAGGTAAATAAAAACTGAACATAAAATAATCCTCTTCCCGTAACAGGAGGAATTAAAAATCATTTCAATGATTTTACAATGTAGATGTTTGGACAAAATCTCACTCATGCCACACTGGTTTAATGAGCTGTTTTGAATATAAGAAAAGCAAAAAGACTGGAACTAAATCTGTTCAAGAACAGAACAAGGAGTGAACGAGCACAGGAAAGGCGGCTGAGGGGATTGAAGCTCTCTACTGAAAGTACATTAGGCTCGTGAGAGAGCTCTTTGTATTTGTGCCTAAAACAGGGCGAGGGCCTCGGTGTGGATACCGATGGGCCCGCGTGCAAGCTGTGCACTGGAAGAATGTCTGCTGGGGTGGCCCAGGACAGCCACACAGTCTGTGTGGCCATCTCTGAAATGCCTGCTCTGGGGAGAACCGAGGCCAGGACAGGCCACCTGTGCTCAGGAGGGGCTCCCGGGGATGGTGAGCGCCAGTTACCGGTGAGCTGAAGATCTCCTTCTCGTTGAAGATGAGGTGCAGCTCCGCGGCCGGAGACAGCTTCTCTACCTCCAGCCACAGCCGCACCTCCCCTCGCTCCAGGATGTCAATGTTCCAGCCGGAGATCAGTTTGATTACTGGAAAGCACAGGATGGGGAGGGTATAGATGGGCCCCCTCCTTTCCTCCCTACCCAGTTGCACCCAGTTGACACAGGAGCTGCTTGGAGGGCCTAAGGCTGGGGGCTGAGGAGGGTTTTTTTTTTTTTTTTTGTCTTTTTCCTTTTTATCGGTACCAGGGATCGAACCCATGACTGCATGCTTGCAAGGCAGGCGCTTATGCCGCTGAGCTAAATCCCCAGCCCCGAGGAGGGCTTTTTGTATGCGGGCTCTGGACTGAACCGATCTCAGGGAAGCATTTCCCCTTCAAGGGTTCTGAGGCTGTGGTTCTCAAGCTGGCCCAGCACTGGATCTCTGAGGACTTTGAAGAACACTTGTGCCCAGCATGGTGGCACAGGCATGTAATTTTAGCACTCAGGAGGATTATAATTCTAGCACTAGCAGAAGGATTACAATAAGTTTGAGGCCAGCTTGGGCAAAATAGCAAATTCAAGGCCGGTCTGAATTGCATAGTGTCTGTCTCATCTGTCTCAAAAAACCAAACCAAACCAAAACTAATGAACCAAACAAAAAACTTGAAAATAAACAGATATCTCCTCCCATCCCCACCATTACCCCCCAAAGAACAAAACACTGGTATTGGGGCTCCACTTCCAGTGGTTCTGATTTGTCCAGGGTGTGGTTTGGGTGTTGTTCCTGGGGTGATTCCCATGTGTGGCCAAGTTTGTTCCAGGACTGCTTATGCTATTCCCAGCCAAAGGAAGGAGGAGGTGGAGGATTAGATGGGCCAAAATTTAAATGACTGAAGAGCAGGTAATAATACTTAGAAAAAGAAAGCACCTGTGGCCTTTCCTGCATTGCCTGTCCTTGGCTTCTGCTGGCTTCCTTTTTCCCTCTGTGGAGCTTCTGGCCTCCTGCCACAGCCCTCGGGGCCCCCCCCCCCCTCCATCTCCGCCCCTGCCCAGGGGTTAATTCTCCAGCCCTGTCTTCTCTGGATGCGCCCTGGCCCCTTAGCAGCTATGGGTTTAACGCTTACCTGGGTTTCTGATCTCATGGCTCAACTTCTTCAGCTTGTCCAGCTCTAGCAGAGAAGGGCACAGAAAGCAGCAAGAATAAACTATCTGGGCTCTGGGGGACCATAAGAGCCACCCCGGGTCCCAAGCTGGGTAAGTCCTGTGAGATCCCCATCACCCTCTGCTTCAGAATCACCTGCTGCAGGGGATGATGATGTGCACAGGGCAGGAGACCCTGGGGCTGCTGCTGGCCGCCCTGAGGTTGCACATCTTCCTGTCCGTAAGGCCTGGACCAAGCCCACCTCTCTTGACAAGCACCTACTGTGTGCCAGGCTGTGCATGATCTCAGTGGCATCACATGGTGCTGTGGGCTGAGCACCCTGGCTGCTGCTGGCCACTCCATGCCCATGGGGTCCTGAGCCCCACTGTTAACTGGGGTACCATCCTGTCCCAGTGCCCTACAGGTCTCCAGGGGGCCCAGCAGAGAGCTGCCACCCCATCTGCTCATGGCCTGTTTCTGTCCACTTTGCCTGTCCTGCTGAGCTGAGCTCTGGATTGCCATGAGTGTCCAGCGCACAGTAAGTGCTCAATAAATATTCATTGCAGGGATGAATTGGCAGGGTCAGAGCCCATCTTCATTTTCCTGATAAAGCCCAGAATCCTTAGCATGATGAACCTGGACTCAGGGACAGCAGGCGCTTGTCCAAACAACAACAAACCCTTCACTTTTGAGGATGGCTTTGGTTTATCTGTATAGTAACACTGTTTCCAAAGGCGCAGCCAAGGATCACAGTGGCCCCTTTACAGACCAAGAAACCGAGGTACGAGGGGTAATAGAATTGCTCACGGTCAAGGAGCCAGGAAACTGAGCTGGCATTGTAACCTCGTCTCTGGGCCTTTGCTTCTTAGCCAAACCCAAGAGCAACGAGCATTGGAGGCCATGGAGTGGGCTGTCCGTGTTGCCATGGAGACAGCAGAGCACTCTCAGGGTCTCTGGTTTCCTGAATTTATAGGAGTCGCAGGAGCCTTCAGCCGGCCCCATTCTTTGCCCCTCCTGGCAGTCTGGACTCCTCCCTCCCCATCAGTGCTGCTTGCAGTTCATTATCACCTTTGCACTCTCATTTTTCTTAGGCTAAAGAGCGAACTAAAATAATTCTGGATGATTTGCTTTCATCAAAAGTAGGAAAATGAAAGGGAGGTCAGACGAATGCACGTTCGACCAGGCAGGGATTTTTGTGGGTTGAGTTCTGATGTGGTCCCAGGGCCTAGGACAGAACCTGGCACAGGACAGGGGTGCACTAGACTGACTGACTGACCGAATGAATGCCTGGTGGCTGAGGCTGCTGCTTGCTGGCCATTATAGGCACCTGTGTTTGGACTCCAAACTGGGGGGCTGCTCCTCACCTTCCTCAGTCAGCGTGTGGCTGGCAGAGATGTCCTCATCAGCATCGGTGACTGTCACTGAGTAGGTGCCCAGATCCTGAAGGTCAGGTTCTTTCAGGATGATCTTGGACCTGGCAGAGAGGGGACAGAGGCTCTGAGCAGCTCCTTGGCCTCGTGCAAGGGAGCCTGCGAGCTGCAGGATTTGGGCTCTGGTGGCCTGCACCATCCCAGGCCCTGGCCAAGGTGGAAGCAGGGCAGCTGACTCCTTGCCCTTCCTTGGGGTCCCCTTTGGCCTGCCACCTGCATTGGCCCCACTAGCTGGGCTCTGGCACAGGGTCTGCTAGACCTGGCTGTACTGCCCCATCTTCCTCCAGGGCTCAAGAGTCAGCTTTATCTTCTGCAGGGGAGGATGAGTGAGATGGTAGGGGCCCTTGTGTCACCGGGTCCAGCCCTCTACTGTATGGACAAGGAAGCCGCTGGACCCCACAGGAGTCTTCTTGGAGGCTCTGGGGCAGAGGCAGTGCAATCCCTTATGGAAAAAGAACCTCTCAAAGAGCATCACCATGCTGAGCATGGTGGCATGTGCCTGTAATCCTGGCGCGCAGGAGGCTGAGGCAGGAGGATCACTGTGAGTTTCAGGCCAGCCTGGACTGCATGGTAAGACCGTGTCTCAAAAGAACGTTGCCATGTCCGCCCCTCAATCCCCTCTCCCCTCACTTCCTGCCGAGGTGTTATCAGCGGGCCACTGAGCTCAGCTGTCTGCACCCTGCCTGTGGCCTCACCCCAGCCCGGGCCGGCAGTATCCGGTCCTGTGAGTGGCTATGGCTCCTCCTCACCCCTCACTCACTTGTTAACTCCATCCTCCACCTTGACCCTTTGGGGGTCGGGTGGACCCTTGTAATCCTTGGACCACTGAAACTCTGAGTCATCGGGGGCCTCAGGGGCTTCGAAAGCCATGTAGATCTGGCCTTCCTCATCCACGCCAACCTCGATCTCATGGGCATCTGAGGGAGAGATCCAGCAGGGAGGGGGAGGGGGGACGGATGTTTATAAATAGTAAACCCGACCACGCCCCCCTTAGGTCCAGCAGTGCAGCGCATGCGCCCTGGCCCCCTACCTGGCTTGTCCTCCAGGAGCACAGGGTCAGTGGGCATCGATGGTTGTCCCAGCCCAGCTGAGTTCATGGCCTGCACCTGGAACACGTACTTCTTCCCTGTCTGCAGGTCAGATACCTGGGAGGGGGGCGAGAGCCAGCACTGAGCATGGTGAGGGTTGTTCCCCTGGGCCCTAGCTGGGCACAGGAGGCCTGGGGCAGGAGCGGAACACATCTCGCTCCTGAGTTCCAGACTGTAAAAATGTTATTAAAATTTGAATTTTGTGGTACTGGGGATTGAACCTAGTGCCTCTGTACTGAGCTACAGCCTCAGTATGTGTTTTTGGTTTTGTTTTGAGACAGAGTCTCACTAAGTTGCTGTGTTGCCCAAGTTGGGCTCCACCTTGAGATTCTCCTGCCTCAGCCTCCTAGAGGTTCTGGGATTACAGATACTCACTACCACATCAGGCTCTGAGTTCCAGCTTTGTGACTGGCCTCTAGCTGCTTATCTCCCAGTCACTGGCACTGGAACCTGCTTGAGGCTTAACTCTACCTTCTCTTTCTAACGAGACACTCTGTTCCTGTGTCCCTGTCTCTCCCTCTGTCCTCCTCCCTCCTCCCTCCAAATGCCAGAGGCAGGCCTCAGACGATCGTGTTAGATCTTTTTTTCTTTTGTTTAGACGGGGTCTTACTATGCAGTTCAGGCTGGCCTTGAACTCCCTGTAGCTCAGGCAACAATTCTCCTGCCTCAGCCTCCCAAGTGCTGGGATTTGAAGTGTGTGCCACCATACCTGGCTTGGAGAGGTGGTTTTCTTGAGTCCTCCTTACCTGATCACCAAATCCTGCCTATTTTATTTCCCTTACGTTTCCTCCCCTCCGTGTCAAGGCCACATCCTGATCGAAGCTTTATTTCTCCTCACTTGGATTGGTTCATGTTTCCTAAATGGCGTTTGTGCTCCTGGACCCTTCTCCAGTACGGTTTTCCCTGTCAATCTGATTATGCTTCTCCCATCTTTCAGTGACTCTCAGGGTCAAGGTCACATCCAGATGTTTAGAACCTAAGGACTTGTAATCTGCTTTAACCTTCCATCTTCTTAGCTAGAACACAAAGGAGTGAAACTCTCTTTCCTTCGTTACACCGCCCCCGATGGCTGCTCGTCTTCTATAGTCCTGACACGGAAGCTGTGAGCGCCACCTCCTTCTCTCCATTCAGCCATAACCCTGATGCTTATTCAGGCTTAAACTTAGGAGATCTCGCAGATTGCTGACATCAAAAAGAGAGCCAATGGGAGGCATCAGGACCCTACACATACAGGGCGCCTGACCTACCAAGGCCCTTTCCTGCCCGCTTCCGCTGCTGCCACAGGACCCTCAACAAACGTGTCCACCCTGTGAGGTGCACACCTGCAGTTCCTTCCTCAGGACATGCAAGAACTCGGCTCATTTTGGCCCACTCGGCTGTGTCCCTCCAAGTCCCTTCCCTCCCTCAGGGTCTGCATGGTCAGGGAGCCGTTACCCTCCCCACTGCCTGCCCTCTTGGGTTGCTGGCCCTCCTCCTTGGCCTGGCGGACTCCAGCTCAGGCTTCCGGGACCGCTGAGCTGGGGAAGTCGAGGATCCCAGGGTGTGGCTCTGACCTTTCTCCTCTGGTATTAGACAGCTAAATCAGGTAGAAAGATTAGAGTCAGACCCGCCTGGGCCTTGGAGGAGTCAGAGCAGAAGATAACACGTTACAGCTGTGGCTGGAGGCGCGTTCCTTGAAGGACTCCAGACAAAGACGGAATGACTACACCTTCAGGCTTCCCCAGGGGGAAACAATAATACAGAAGGCGTCACCTGGGTGGGGACCAAGACTTCCTTGACTGTCCCCTCCAGGAAAGGTCCTTGTTTCTCTTCATGCACACCTGTTACGTGACTTGCTTCCCACAGGATCAATATTACCTGAGCAACTATCCTTGTAGGCTAATTGGATGATCAGAGTTTGTTCCACCTTATACCCAGCTCGTGACTTGCACCCACCTCATGATTTTGCTCTATAAAGCCTCCCCTGTAAGTAGAGTCCGTGGCAAACTGCTTTCTGGTCCCCTCTGGTCCTTCGTAGACAGAAACTATCTTCCCTCAATAAATATTTCCTCCTCTAAGCTCCACTGCTCCTTAGAAGTCATGCTTTGATTTTGGGGGACACACACTCAGGGGTTGCGAGTTACAGTACTTCCCTGGTATTATCTGGACGCTCGGGGGTCCTCTAGCATCCCCGTGTCATCAGCACCCCGACCTCCCTCCATGGCTGCATTCGTCACCCTGCACTGTAATTGCTGTCACCCTGTGGCTGTCGTTTGTTTAGCTTGTTATGTCCAGGGCCCCGTCCAGACCTGGCAGTCGGCCGATGTCAGGAAGAGGTTAGTGAATGGCTGAGTGACAGCCAGCCCTTCCCATGTGGACACCGGTGCCAAGTCACTGTTCTGGCCCGGGGTCACTCACAGAGGGAGGGACTGTCTGTCCATCATGTGGGGCTTTCTCAGGCCAGCTGTCCAGCACCGGCCAATTCCTGTGCTAGCGGACTGACCCTGGGGATGTGGAATCTCAGAGGACTCTGCCTGTGAATGCTTTTCTTCTGTTGTGTTGGGTCAGGTGGGCTTAGTTTCATTTTTACAAGATTAAGTTGTTTCTTTTTTATTTTTGAGTTGTTTCTGATTATAAGAGAAAGTGGGAAAATTTTAAAGCGGCGGAGAAGGATATAAAGTGAAGGATTAAAGCCCCTCAGGGGTTCCTTAGTTCCACAGAGGACCGGGCTGAGCAGGATGGTGAAAATCATCTTAGATTTTGTAAAAACATGATGTGTATCTTGCTCTCTTTGTTGGTATCTAACCCCTTCCACATTACTGTGGGCTTCCCAAGCCTATCTTCTTTCTCTTGTGTGCTGTCAAGGAAGGCTAAAGAATGCCTCTGTCATCCAGGCATGGCAGCTCACGCCTGTAATCCTAGCACTCTGGGAGGCTGAGGCAGGAGGATCCCTAGTGAGAGTGAGGGACTTAGCAGGATCTTATCTCAGAATAAAAAAGGGCTAGAGATGTAGCTAAACTGGTAGGCCTGGGTTGCATCCTCATTACATGTGTGTGCACACGTGTGTGTGTGTGTGTGTGTGTGTGTGTGTGTGTGTGTTGTGTGATCCTGACAACTGCACCTCCTCCTGTGCCTGGGAAAGGTGCCTCAGGGAGGAAGTAGCCCATCTTTCTCTAGAGCTGCAGAAAATACAATAGCACACTTTCCTTGCATCCCCACCCGCAGATACGCTATCTACAGGGCATGGACACCACAGCCTGTGAAAGTGACCCCAGTGACCGGAAGTCAGTAAGCCAGTGACTTGTGTCTGCAGCTGCTGATTCATAGTGACACCTTTACCTTCTGACTTGTATAAATATGTGTGAGTCACCTTTGTCACACCGGGAAAAGAGTTCCTTTACTCTTGTGTGTGTGTAAAGCTAAAACCACGAAGCCACCGTGATCAAGACCATGTTTCTTATTTATCCGAAAGGTTTAGAGTTTTTCTTATTTAAATTAAAAGGCATTTATCTTCAAATGTTTTTCTCTATGTAATATAGATACTATAGATTGTGTGCTATGTATTTATTTTTTGGGTACTGGGGGTTGAACTCACAACCTTACACTTGCCAGATGGACGCGTAAGCTGCTGAGCTAAATCCCTGGCTGACTGTGTGCTGTTTAAACATAAAAATATCTTACTCTTCTTCTCTCTTTCTTTTGTTTTGGTTTTCTGAGAGGGATCTCACTGTGCATCCCAAGCTGGCCTCGCACTCACAGCAATCCTCCTGCTTCAGCCTCCCTAGTGCTGGGATGACTGGTGTGTTTACCACACTGGGATGCTTTTCTTTCTTACCTGCATATGACTGGTGTATTTTCATGGCCATACGCGAAGGTCTGGCTCACCCCTAACCCTACTGCCATTCCCTGTGCTTCACACTACCTGGCCCGGCGTCTCTGTGAAGGAGCACTATGATTTCAGCAAACTCCTTCTGGCAGACATTTAAATTGCTCCCGGCTTTTGCTACAGTGCTAGAGTCACTGTCACCATCCTTAGGTCCTTCCACACATGCCTCATTCTTCCTCTACAATCCAACTCCAGAGGCATACTTCCAGGGTCTAGGGATGTGCATATCTAAATACTGAAACACTGGCCTCGCTTGTGTCGTGATTTCACAGAGGATTCTGTCCAGCATAGAGCAGAGTAAGGCCAGTGGCCAGCCGGACCTGCTGTCAACTTGCTGTGTGGCCCTGGCTAAGTCACTCTCCTCCTCTGCTCCTGTGCTGCCAGTAAGATAAGGCGCGCTGTCCGAGGGGTGTTGCAGCTTGAGTGGTTCTGCCATGTCCAGCGGCAGGGAAGGCTCAGGGCTGGTTAGAAGATGAAGAGGCAGGAACTTACCCTGAAGTGGGTGGCAGAGACGGGGTGTGGGGTGATCTGCTTCCACTCCTCAGAGCCTTCCTCCTGGACACTGATGCAATAGCCCGTGACCGGTCCCGCCCCTGTGTAGATGGGGGGCTCCCACTGCAGCATCAGGGAGGTGGCCCGCACTTCGGATGCCTGCACATCATACGGGGGGCCTGTGGGGGAGGGATGGCAGAGATGTGGGGGCCAGGCATCCGGGCAACAAGCTGGGCGGTCCGCCAGCAAGCTGGTCAAGTGGGTCATTACCAGGCCTGGAAGGGCCTGCTCCAGGCACAGGGAGGACCTGGCCAGCCTTGGCTTTGTGGCAAAGCTGGGTTCTGGGACTCCTGTTCCCTGACCTTAAAATGGGAACACTAGTCCTCACACTGCTGCTGTGAGCCATACGAAGCAATAGTAAGAGTGTTTGGAAAGTGTCTGGTACACAGTCAATACCAGATACATAGTCAGTATCCGAGAGGTAAGAGCTGCTCATCACAGCTGCTCCTGAAGGCCCTGCGTGGTGTAATTACCTGGCACCAGGTGGGACAGGTACGGAGCTGAGCATCGTGATAGATAATGTGATTGTTCCCTCTTGGGGGAGGTGAGGGGAGCATGCTCAGGGGTTACTGTCACAGCGTGTGGTGTCCCCCTGAGGGGACTCCTGAAATGCACGGGCTTCAGTGGTAAACCGGGAAAATCCCAGGTGGATGAGAGGGGGTCTCGCCACGTGGCCTTGGCATTCACAACAGGGCTGGGGCAGAATCAGCGCGTCAGGTTGGGGGATGGTTGGTGTTGGGGTGCAGACTTAGGAGGTGGCCAGTCAGGGGTTGTTTTTGGTAGGCTAGGGACAGTCTGCACGAGGTATTCCAAGGTCAGTCTGTGGAAGAGTCAGCATCTGCGGTCCAGATCAACCGAGCAAGACTGAACACACAGAAGCTGACCATCTCTCTGGGGCCAGGTGGTGAGGGCAGGCAGGGCAGCCTGGGATGCAGCCCTCGGGCCTCACCTGGCTGGGGCATTGTCCACTCTTTGCACTCAAACAGGCTGCTCGGTGCCGACAGCTCACCAACACCTGCCCAGTTTACTGCTCGGGCACGGAACTCATAGAAGTGGCCTTCATGGAGGTCGCTGACCTGGAGGAAGGGAAAGACGGGCTGGGTTTGCTGCAGCTGGGGAGGAGGAGCTGTGGGTGTGGTGGTGGGGCCCTCGGCACTGAGCTCCATTTCCAGCCCCTTATTTGTTTATTTATTTTTATTTTGAGATAGTGTCTTGCTGAATTGTTAAATTGCCTGTGCTGGGCTCAAACTCACAGTCCTCCTGCCTTGTAGGGGAGCTGTGATTACAGGTGTGAGCCACCACAGGGGCTTTACACAGGGGCTTTACACAGGGGCCTCAGGAATCGCCTATGCCTGAACTCAGCTGGGCAGTGGCTGCAGGGGAATTTGAGGGCACACAAGTGCCTGGAGGCCTCACTCCGTGTCCTCCATGTCCCCTTGCACACACAGCAGTGACATGAGTTCCTGGCCACACTCCTGCTCACCTTGCAGACCCGGCTGGGGACTGGCTGCTGGTTGACCGGGTGCCAGTCTGGCTCCTCTGAGTCATGCTGGTCCAGGAAGTAGCCCAGGATCTTGCCACCTCCACGACGCTTGGGGGGTTTCCACCCAATGACCATTTCATTCTTCCCGCAGTGCAGGAGGGCAAAATCATACGGGGCTGACGGGGTGGCTGTGGGAGGCGAGGAGGCAGGCAGCTGCTCCCAAGGGTAGTGGCGCTGGGCTGTGGGGCCTGAGGGAGCCCAGGAGCCTCCCCTGGTGGTCATCCACCCTGTCCCAGGGGTCCCTGAGCCAACCGCGTCTTCCCTGAAGGACACCCAGATCTGATGTGGCCCAGGAGCCGGGCCCCCGCCCAGCCCAGGATGCCCCAGAGGGTAATGGGTTGGTCTCCTGGGGACTCACCCAGGGCCTGCTTGACCCTGATGGGCTCCGTGGGGGCTGAGCTGTCACCCACACCGGCCTCACTGACGGACCGGACACAGAACTCGTACTCCTTCCCTGTCCTCAGCCCTGGAACTGTAAACCTTGGAGAGAAATGTGCAGCCTCAGGGGTGGCCAAACAGCCTGGAGACTTCCTGAACCTCGTGGGCTAAGTGGTTATCAGTGTGATGAGGTTTGGGGGTTCTGACCCACTCTTCCCTAAAAATATCTCCCCCAATCCGACAGCAATGCCTGAAATTGCTCCATGGCGGGTGTTGTCCTTAAGGTCCAAAAGGATGCTTGCTCTTCTAAGGACCGCAGTCAAAGTGCAAATACTTACAATGCAAAAGTTCCCAACCTAGGATCAAGGGTGCCCACCCTTGGCCCAGTGCTATATGCTCAACTTCAGAGCTCTGAGTTTTGATCTTGAACAAGAACAGGTGGCTTTTATAATCTGCAATGCTGCTGTGACTCAAAACACAGAGTCTTCAGAAAAACCTCAGTAGGAAGTGTCACCCACAAAAGGACACCCTGGTTTAGAGAAAATTGTCCTTCTCTTCCTGTCCCTGTGTGACAAAGCCCAGGTCGTGGACCTCTGTCTCCCTTCTCCCTTATCCACATTGTCCTGTAGTAGATCTGGCTCTGCAGGGGACTCCTCCAATCCATGGTCACCCCATGCCCAGACTTCTGCAAAGGGCACGCCCTTGGCAAGTGTGTGCCAAAAGAGTCCATCTGGGCAGGTCCCTGTTCTTGCTCTTCCTAGCCATGGGAGTTTTGGCAAGATGCTTAACCTCTCTGTGCCTCAGTTCCTCCCTCTGTAAAATGATGATAAAAGCAATCATCCTAACTGTCCTAACGGTGGCCCATACAGCTGTGACACAGTGGGCTGGGTGCCTGCTGTGGATGGGGCAGGACAGGTTCACCTGCTGCCCTGGATGGGTTTGTTGTTGACTGTCTGCCATTCAGATGATCCTGCCTCCCGAGAGTAGATGTAATATCCCAAGAGCTCGGCGCCACCGTCCACAGGATCCCAGGTCAGGGACACAGAGGTCTGTGTGTCTCGGAAAGCTTGAACTTGAGCCGGAGGAGGGAGAGTGGCTGAGAAACAGAAGCATAGGAAAGAGAGGCCAAGTTAAGACCCTGACAGGCTGGAGGAGAGGTTTTGGGGAGAGGCAGAGAGGAGGCCCACAGCAATCCAGGACATCATATGGATTTCAGCTTTGCGCAGGGGACTAGGGTTCAATTTCCCAGGCCTGAAAGTGCATCTAGGACTTTCCTATTTAAAAGTCCTCTCTTCCGTAACTGCTGAGCATCTCTGTTTCTTTACTCAAGCACCAAAGCCCTCCCTCCTTGAGTTCTACAGTCTCTCTCAGAAGTGACAATTCTGACAGTCCTTATCAGTCCTTACCTTTACCCTCAAGCAAACTTGATTTTCCTTTCTTGAAATTTCTCTGTCGGTTTTCATAGTTCCTAGATACTAAGCTACTTGATTTGGGGTTGCCATGACTTGTCAACAGATAGATGGATGGCTGGTTGGATGGTTGGATGGGTGGATGTGTGGATGGGTGGATGTGTGGATGGAAGAGTGGTTGGATAAATGGACAGATGGTTGGTAGATGAACAGATGGATGGACGGGTGGATGGATGATGATTGGATGAATAGTTGGTTGGATGGGTGGATGCTTGGAAGGCAGGTTCAAACTTTTTTTAGTTCTTTCTTTGCATTTCAAATTCCTTATACATCATTTGTTGGATCCCCGTCTTCCTTTTGGTACAAATGCGAGGTTCTTCTAATTTTTTCTTGGCCTATCCCACTTTTTTCCTCTCCTGTTATTCCTCCTGGGCTTCATACCCCTCCGGCTACATCATGCAGTACCTTTCTTGCCTCTCAGGGCGATGGGTTCACTGGGCTCTGAGGGGTCGCTTATGCCGTATTGGTTCATGGCCCGCACTCTGAAGACGTATGACTTCCCTTTCTCCAGGTTCAGGAGGGCAAACCTTGGAGACTTCACCGGGGTTTCTGAGCTGATCGTCTCCCAGGTGCCACTCCCTATGACCGACTGGAGGGAGAGAAGAACTGGCATCAGCTAAGCTACTGCTGGGTGAACCGCTCACCACACTGCCCTCATGATCTCCTCCAAGACAGGCTGCCCCAGGCCCTGGCCCACCTGCTTCCTTTCTTTCTCCTGAGTTCCTCACCTGGGATGAGGGGTGGGTGCATGTCTAGCACTCAGCCCTGGGATTCCTCACATCTGTGCTGCCACCACGTGCTCGTGCACCACACTTCCCCAGGCCCAGACCAGGGACCTTGCAGCTCTTACCCTCCTGCCATAAATACACTGCCATCGACAGATCCAGTTTGTGCCACCTTTGAAATGTGTCCAAGCTGGACATGGTGGCACCTGCCTATAATCCCAGTAGTTTGGGAGGTTGAGGTAGAAGGATTGTGAGTTCTAGCCCTGGATAACTTACTGAGATCTTGTCTCAAAATTAAAAAATAAAAAAGGGCTGATGATACAGCTTAGTGCAAAGGCCCTAGATTCAATTCCTAGTATTGGGAAATGGAGGAAAAAAAAAAAAGAAAATGTATACAGAGTCCAACATGCCTTAACCCTTCATGCTTCCTACCCTGTCCATTAACCAACCCAGACTTATCTGTGGCTTGAATTGAGTCTTCCTACCTTTAGTTCCTTTCAGTGTTTTCTTAAGGGGCTGCCAGAGGCCCTGTCTGCTCAGAAGTCTCTTAAACTCTTCATCTCTCCTGGAGGAAGCACTTCCCCATGACCTGGGCTACTTGTCTGGCCAGAGTCCATTCCTCTGTGTCTGCTCATCACAGCCCTGTGCCTCCCTGCCATGCACTGACGGATCAGGTCCCCGGTCCCTCCTGGGTTTCTGCACAAGGCTCCCTGGCCACCACATCTAAGTGCAGCAGCAGCCCCCGTGTTTTGCATCTCTGTCCTCAGTGCCAGCTGCTAGCTAATGAGCTGACTTGCTTCCTGTGCCGCTCACTTTCTTGTTGCCTCCCCAACTTGCCACATGCCCAGGCCCAAACAGGCACTGGCACAGGGGATGAATGAATGGGTGAATTCTCACCATAACCCTGTGTACTAGGTGTTGATTTCCCTACCCATGAGACATGCAGTTTAGAGACAGTTGGGTAACTTGCCCAGAAGTCTCACGTTGAACACCTGCTGGAGAGGGCCCTGAAACCCAGGTGTGGCTGTTTCCAAACCTGTTTGCCTGCTATGGCACCAGGGGTGCAAAATGCAGTCATCCATCCTGAAGGATCTAAAAAGTGCCATCATCCTGAGGGACCCAAGGTGACCACCTGTCCTCCTGAGTCTCTGAGCAGATGTGGGAGACCTCAAGTGATTGAAGAGGCATCCAGAGACCATTCCCAGTGAGTTTGGACTTGAGGGGCAGGGCCCAGGAACGCCAAACCCCCATCTCTGCTCTCTTGGCCCACCTGGCTGGCAGTGGCCTGAAACCCAGGGAAGCTAAGAGATCACCATAAACATGGTGGGCGGTGCTCAGTACTCACTGGACACGGGCTCTGTTCTGGCTTTGTGTACCTTAATTTGATCCTTACATTAACCCATCAGATGTTTGTGACTATTATTAACATTGAAATGTGTAGGGAGCGGCTCAGAATGGCTGCTGCTGCCCTGCCCCTCCCACCTGAGGGCATTTTGTGTGTCAGCCTACATTTCCCATGATCCTCCCCTTGCCTATAGTGTGCATGATGTGAGCAACTTCCCGCTTCAGCCTACATCCCCCATGATCCCCTCCTGCTTATATCATATATCCGGATGTGACGATGACCTATCAGATAACACTCCGTGCCCTCTTCCTGCCCCATTGGCCCGCCTCCACCCTATATAAGTTGTAGCCATTTTAAGAATAAACGAGACTTGAATGGAATCCCGCCTTGTCTCCATCTCTCTTTTCTCTTGCCCAGCTCTTCATCCCCGTCCCTTCTCCAGGCGAGGCCCACGGACTGATCTGTGGGATGGATCAGAAATGGAGGCCCCCAGGAGACTAAATAAGTTGCCCATGGTCACACAGCTTGGAGTAGCGGAGCTAGGGGTTGAATCCAGAAAGTCCGGCACCAAGGTGGTCACTATCACCCCCTCCACTCACAGAAAAAAATCCACAATCATCTATGGCTTCCTGCGCTGGAAAATTAGGGTCCGTTTCCTGTGACTGTGAGAAGAGTGGTCCATTTGGATGAAAAGAGCTAGAGATTCCTCCCTGGACATTTTAAATTTATCCAGTAAACCTTGATGGCCACCTATTTTGGGCCAGGCACCACGGTGGGCACAGCGATTCAGAGAAACCCAGGCCATGAAGATCAAGAACACATCTTGGGAAGCATGGACAGCCCCAGATTCTGGCCCTGACTGTGTGCTGTTCCTTGTTTTTCCCTCTTTGGTCAGGTGGTCTGTTCTGGGACGGAGGAAACCGGGGCTCAGAGAAGGCAGGGAGCTAGCTTGGGAGGCCCCATAGAAGCCTGGGTTGAACTGCACTGGCACTGTCTTCTTTCCATGCTGCCTCCCCTGCACTGAACCCAGTCCACAGGGGCAGCCCCAGCTCCTTCATGGTGTCCCCTGTGCCCAGTGGGGCCTTCCTTCTCCTGCAGGGTGGTCCCCGTACCCCTAGCTGGTGGGCACCCTCCCCTCCCATCATGGCCTGGTTGAGAGCAGGTGTTTGACACGTCTGACCCGACATCATCCACTTGGGACAGGGAAGCCGTCAGGAGATGGTGTCTTACTGTTGTTATTGCTGTCTGTGCCTCTTAACTTTGTGTATTTCATGAACAACCTCAAGAACTGCAGCACAAGTAACTGTCTTGCAGGCAGGATTTCTCTTCTCTTCCCTCAAGGCCCCCAGGCACCCTGCCTGGGGTTTCTCAGCTGCCTGCACTTTCCCGCAGCTGGGCCCCATAGTGTGTCTGTTCTCAGGCTGTCCTGGGCTGGTCCTTGGGGTCTCCTACCTTCTCCAGGGCATAGGTCAGTGGGGCTTTGCCTCGGGGCCTTGGTTCTTCCCAGCTCAGAATCACGTAGGCCTCCCGGATCTCGCTGGCATGGACATTGGTCGGGGGCAAGGGGATGGTCACGGCATCTAGAATCATCCGGGGCAGAGATGGTGAGCCCCTAATCTCAGCTTCTCATTCCACAGAGGAGGGAGCTGGGGCCTGGAGGTCCAGGTCATCCCACAGAGTCAGACCAGAACCCTGGTCTCCTGATGCCCTGCCCAGGGAGTCCCCATAGGCCACCTCTTCCACCAGCACTGCTGCCAAATGGCCACAGTGACCCCAGTACCCAGGCCGCCTCCAACTAGACCCTCCTACCCTCACATCCCTGTATCCTGAATGTGGATAGCGTTCAGGTTTTGCCTGATGGTGCCCCAGTTTCCAGAAATGTCCAGGAGCTGGCCAGAGGCACAGTGCTGGGCAGAGTCAGGCCTACCTTCAAAGTCGTCCATGCTGATGGTGATCTTGCTGCCCAGGTCAAAAGGGATCTCTAGGGAGGAGGATGGAGGATGTGGGTACTCAGTCAAGGTGAGCCAGGGCCTGCTCCACCTTGTCCCTGAATCCTGCCTGGTGGTTCTCATTGTGTGACCTCAGGCAGGTGCTCTCTGGGTTGAGCTTTCTCAGGAGTCCCAAGTAGAGCTCTGCTGTGTTCAACCTCAGAGACCTGCTCCTCCATGGGGCAGGTGGGGGCAGAGAGGAGGAGCGATGTGTGTGAGCACAATGGAGCCAATGGCAAACCTAAGTCAGGGTGACCCTTAAGGCTGAGAGAAAGGCGTCTCCACATTTCCCCTGGACTGGGGCTCCCGAGGATGGGGCTCCCTCCTGCACCAGACTGGAGGCATCTGAAGAAGGTGCTGTGGTCCTCCTTCAGACTGGCGCCTCCAGTGGACATCAGACTGGCTGAGCCTTCCACCTCCGGCTAAGGCTAGGACTGGCTCTCCTCCATCAGACTAGGACTTCTGAGGGCTGAGCTGTGTCACCTGTCTCCTCGCATAAGACCTGCTTGATACTCTACAATGTCCCTTCAGGGCCTCCGTACTCACCTGTCTTCCTGTGGACGGCATCGCGGGGGCCCATGACAACTACTTCTGAGGCCTTGGAGGGGAGGCTGCTGCCTGCCTTGCTGATGGCTCTCACACGGAATCGGTAGCTCTGGCCTTCGAGGAGGCCTTGGATTGGGCACCGGCAGGTGCTCCCAGGGGCCTCATGGCAAGGCACCCACTCCTCAGAGTCGCCCTGGCACCTGTGGGGGACAGGCCCTGGTGTCCAGTCCCTGCCTATGTCCCGCACGTCCCTGGTTGAGCTTCTGTAGGTGCCACTGATTGCCTGGGACCGCCTGCCCCGGGAGGCCTCCTCCATTTGTCTGCATCATGCTGATCGAATGGTCTGTGCCTCTCATGGAGTTCTGCCTGCGGGGCTGTGCCCTCTGTCCCCATTATCTCATCCTCTCAGTGGCCTCAGGAATTGCGGCTCTTCCTTCCTAAGTGGGCATCTGCTGCCAGAGTGGGAGGACTTGATGCCTCCTAAGCCAGTGACAGCCACCTTTCAGAGTTTACAAGGATAACAAACAGCCATCACTGCCGTAGGGATGACCCTCCAGGCCTGGCTCTCTGTGGCTTGTCAGTATCATTGTCCTCAGGAGCTGGACAGCGGGTGTGCCTTTTAGGTTGGTCCTGCCTCCATTGCTATGTGACTTTGGGTAAGATTGTCCCCCGAAGGCCCTCATCTGAAGGGAGTCCCACTCTCCTTTACACAGGAGGTAAGGCCAGATGGGGGCACCTCTTTCCTGCAGTTGGACAGAATCCACCCGGGGGCCCAGCCACTGCAGAGGATGACTCACAGCTCGATGGCGTAGCCGGTGATGGGGTTGCCCCGGGTATCGCTGGGCGGGGCCCAGGTCAGGATGAGGCAGTCTCTGTTCACTTCCAGGCACCGGACATTCAGCGGGGAGCCTGGGGCCCCCGGTGTCTCAGCTGCAGCATCTGAAGCCGGCATGTGTGGGTGGTCTCTTCAGTCAGTGGCCTTTCGGTGACCAGCTCCTCCCACTCTCCCTGCTGCCCAACAGCTGCTTCTCCTAAGACCTTCTGGGGCTCAGTTTTGACCTTGAGGACCAGGGCCTGAAAAATAGCCTCTGGATACCCCACCCCCACAGCCACATCTCCGGGAAGGGGTGACAGTGCCATTTTCCAGAGGCCCACTTTCCACAAGCACCTGACAATCAGTAGAATCAATCTGAGTCTCAAAGCACCCTTCACTTTGGAGATGGAGAAGCTGAGTTTCAGAGGTGAGTGACATGCTTAAGGTCACCCAGCCAGTGAAGTGGCTTGGTGACATGAACCCCACCTAGTGACCAGAGGCATCTAGCCCTAGTCAGCCTCCAGGGCTGTGTCCTTTAGGTGAGGTTGCTACAGGGGTTCCTAGAAAGGCTCTAGCCCAACACCTCCATTTAGAGTAGAGAGACAGAGATGCCAAGGGTTCAGGGGGCCTGGCTGAGGTCCCCCAGAAGTCAACTACAGAGCCCTGGTCGCTGTGCCCTGGCGGCCCCTCCCACCACTCCTCACCTCTCACAAACACATAGGCGCTCTGCTCGCGGGGCCCCGTCGCTGAAGGCACCCGGATGCTGTACAGCCCCTCATCCTCCTTGTAGGCACAGGTCACTTTCAGGGAAGCCTGGCGGTCCGCGTAGAGGATTTGCCAGCGTCTTGAGGATCTCAGGGCCCTGCCTGTGGAGGATAACAGGGTTCCACTGTGAGCTTGGAGAGGGGGATCCTGGCCTCCCCTCTGGGGGACTCTGGGGTTCTGGAGCCCTGGCTGGGAAGAGGAAGAGAGGGCTGCTGTAGCTGCGGCCTGAGGGTTAGCTCAGTGTGGGGATTTTTGGGCTCTTCCAAGGTAACTCCCCAACTCTCCTCTGTGAAAAGCTGGAGATAGGGCAGGCTTGGGGATCAAGCAGACAGTGAAGGTTTAGGGAAATGTTTGGGAAGACGAGAAATTGAGGTTCCATGAGAAGAGAGATTGGGTCCTGTGTGGGGCTGCAGGCTCAAAGAATGGGCTTATTGAGAGTGAGGGGAGCTCAGTGGGTGGGAGCTGTGAGTTTAGTGGGGGATATGGGGGTTGTCGGAGGTGGGAGATCAGTAAAGGGTCCACATCTAATAGACAGCGCTGGGGCCTCTCAGAGAGGAGGGCAGACTGCTGGTTGAGGGGCTGGAGTTCAGTGACAAGAACCGATGGGGACTTGAAAAGGCCACTGCCCAGCCACCTCGGTGAGCCATCTCTTCTCTGTCGCAGACAGGGGCTCCTCTCACACCTCTACTCTGTAAGATCTGCAGGTTTGCAGAAACCTCTTGTAGCAGGCATTTCTTGGGTTCCTAAGTCCTCTCCTCCCCACCTCCCACCTCCTGTAGGTGCAACTCCTGGGCTCAGAGCTGGGGTGTGCAGACCTGTCCCACAGAGGGGCAGGAGCCCTGGCTGTCTTTTTCTCCCCTCTTGGGGCTGTCTGTTCCTGCCACAGCCCAGCAGTCTGTTCAAGCTGCTCCACGACATCCCCAGAAAGTGCCCGCACACTGATTCCAAAAGCCCTCCGCAGGCCGCACAGCCTGCTCTGAGCATCTAAGGGACTCTCCCGACCCCTCGCCTTGGCCTCAGGTCCCCTGCTAGAGTGGTGACAATGCAGGCAGAGGACCCCGCCAACACCGGACCTCACATCCACAGGCAGGACTCAAGGCGGCAGCTACAACCCTGCTGATGGCTTCCTTCTACCCTGAAGACACAGGCAGCTCCAGAGCATGTGATCTGCCCACCCACTGCCCAGGTCCCAGCACAGGGGCTGGCATCCTGCAGATGCTTGGTGACCACACCTGGCCGTGCTGCTGCCCACCTCTGGATCTTTAGCACAAACAAGGCAACCAGTGTTGGCCCAGTACTGAGTCCCATGCAGGTCCCAGGGTTAGGGATGGACCCAGGGCTCCCGTCCTCCTGCCTTCTGGACCCTCTGGCTCTCAGCTGAGCTTCAGGGTGGGAGTGGGGGTTTGCCACTGAGGGCCAGGACCAGGATCCTCACCGTCTCGGAACCACTGGATGTTCTGTTCGGCGTCTGACACATCGTCAGAAAAGAGGCAGGACAGGGAGAAAGGCTCCTTCTCACGGGCAAAGACGGGCCGCAGCACCGATGTGAAATCCACGCTGGGGCCAAACATCGCTCCTGGGGTTGGGACAGAAATCAACGGCAGGAGCTTTCTGAGATGCCAGGGGTCTAGATGGGAGTGAGGACCCGCCTGGCATCCTCTTCCTCAGGGTCAGGAGGATTTCAGGGGTGGTGTCGACAAGAAAGGGGGCTGGCTCTGGGGGTGAAATGGATGAGGCTTGTCTAGATGGGGTCAGGTAAGCAAGAACAGCAAACACCCCAAAGCCATGTTTTCCATCGTCTTCTGCCCTTCTAGCCTAGTTTTGGTCAGGGGACGGCTCACGGGCTGGGGGCAGCTCTGCCATCAGTCTCAGAAGCCAGGCTACAGTATTAACAGCTAGTGAGTGTCATCCCTCGGGGACAGCCCTTTGTGGGCAAGGGTGGCTCTATTCTGAAAAGCACTATGTGAGGCCAAATCCTGAACAAGGAGTCCCAGATGCCCCATGAAGCTCCAGCCCTCCCTGGTCCACTTACTTTTAAAGATCTCTGAATCGAAGCCAGCCTCCTTCCCCAGGTAAGCTGGAAATACACACACACACACAAAAACAGACTTGGGGAGGGTTCAGACTCTACATTTCCTACCATACGTGGAGGGCATGGGCCTTGGCAGTCCTAGTCTGTCAGTAGCTCCTGCTTTTACCTGTCTGTACCTCAGTTTCTTTGTCTGTAAAATGGGGACATTAATTCCTACCTAATTTGGTTATGAATGAATAAAGTATGCAAATAAAGCCCTCAACCAGAACCTGGCCTGCAGCAGGTGCTCGATTCATGTGGGCTTTCCTTCTCCACCCTTGCTGGCTCCTGGTATCTCACACTGCGCAGAGGTGGGGCCTGGCTGGAGACCGGGGTTTCTGGTGGATCAGCACAGGTGCAGCTGCCCAGAGGACCCCTCAGGGATGAGATTGCTCCCGCGGTGCTTGTACTGTGTGCTGCAGGCACGCTCCTTGGCTCCTTGCAGCTCCCCTGCCTCAGGAGTCTGAAGCTACGCTGTGACCATGGTCCCCAGAAAGCCCCTTCCTGGGGGAGCCCCTAAGGAGGTCACCTCGGTCCCACAGGGAGCCAGTGGGAGGCAGCAGTAGGACCCAGGGCTCCTGCTTCCCAGCTGGGGCTTCACTCGGCCTGAAGTTACCACGTGGATGGGAGCAGGGGGGAGGGTGACCAGTGGGCGCCCTCAGCAGGGGCTTGGCGGAGTGTGACTGGTGTCCCTGGGTTTGATGGGCGGAGGGACAACAGAGACCGGGCTGAGGTGAGGGGCAGGGTGAGTGACAGAGCTTGGCTCTCGGCACTGCCTATGGAGCAGCTCGAGTTCCCGTTCAGAGGCCACCTGGCAGAGGCCTCCCAACAGCTATTTGGGGAACAGGGCCTAGGGTGGGGAGAACAGCAAAGGACAGTTTAACAAGGTCTATGACAAGTGGGGCTGGGCTCCAGCCTGTCTGCTGCCCAGGACAGCTGCCCTGGGGGTTTGTGTAGGTGTGTAGGGGTGTGTGTGTGTGTGTGTGTGTGTGTGTGTGTGTGTGCGTGCCCGTGCTTCCCAGGGGCCCTAAGGGCCAGGCACAGCACTGGGACCAGGATTGCACCCCCAGACAGTGTTCTGGTCAGGTCATAGGGAGGGACGCGGCCTTATCCTTTCCTGAGCGCTTCCTGTGTGCTTAGCTGAATCTGTGCATCTCATTTAATCAGCACGAGCCTCTGAGGGAGGCCGTGGGAGTAGAGGAAGGATTGGCCACACAGCCAGCCAGGGCAGAGGCGGGAGGGGTCTCAGCTCTGGCTGACACCTGGGTGTCTGTGCTGCACTATCCATGTCCAACTGGGAGATTCACACTAGAAGCCAGAGGGACAGTGGGGGGAAGTGGGGAGGTGGCAGGGCTTGGCCTTTGCCCCTGTGCCCTTGGCAGGGCCAGACTATCCTTGCAGAGGTCTTTGGCTGGATCTGGCGCCACATCTGACTTGGCGGGGGTGGGGAGGACAAGCAGGCTCTTTGGACACAGACCGGCGGGGTCATCTTGATCAGCTGTGCAAGGTGTGCTCTGCACAAGGGTTCCCCAGCGAGAGCAGGTAGGGGCTGAACCTAGACTGTTTTGCACTTGTTAAATCACGAGGCCCAGCAGGAGAGGGCGTCCACTTGGAGGAGAGGGTCCCTTTTTCTAATTCACTCACCCTGGTGACACAAAAATGCCATCAAGGCCAGTGATGACCTCAGACACAGCCAAGGTCCAGACTAACTCAGCATGGACCCGGAGGCTGTCAGAAAAGATCAATCCCCTTCCTCTTCCTTTTCCTGGTGCCTCTTCACCCCTACCTCTGAGGCAGAGGTTCCTGCCTCACAAGCCTCACATCATCAGCCACCCACACTGGTCTCTGCTGCCCAGGCCAGTTGGATGGAGGAAGCTGTCAGCTCCAGAGGCCCATAGTGAGCCTCTCTGGCTCTCCCGCCCCCACCCCAGCTCAGCAGCCCTGGGCCCTGGATCTAACTGCATGGCCACGTCTCCATCTGCTTGGGTTGGGTTTGCTAAGGCCTGGCCTGGCCTGGCCTGGTGGGAATGGGCAGACTTACTGCGGACAAGGACTTTGGCGAAGGAGGAGGCCTGACCGTAAGCGTTCTTCACCTTCACTGTGTAGGTGGCCGAGTCCTCCATGGTGCATCTGCAAAGAGGCGAGGGTGAAGCCCCTCTGAACTGCAGGGCTCCATGGGAAAGGCAGGCCCCCTGGGAAAGGCAGGCCCCCTGGGAAAGGCAGGCCCCATGGGAAAGGTAGCCCCATGGGAAAGGCAGGCCCCATGGGAAACGCTGGCGTGACAGGGCGTGACAGGGAAAAGTGCTTTGAAATTATCCTGTGCCACACTGTATGCTCATTACTGACTTTGGAGGGTCAGAGAGGTAAAGCCACGTGTGCAGTCACACAGCAAATAGAATCCAACATGGCCTCCCGGTGACAAGCCCTCCCCAGGCATGGCCTCATGCCCTAGTGATGTGTCCAAGTCAGACTCTCAGGGCAGGCCCTGCTCCTTTCACACAGACATGCCAAGGCATACTGCCAGCCTGTGCCAGGGCCGGGCCGCATGCCAGGAGTTGTCAGTCTCTGGCCTGCATCTCACCATCAGCTGGGCCAACCCTGCCATGTTCCCAGTGGGAATGTGGCCTGGCTCCATCTAAGGGAACCTCAGTGCCAAAAGGACAGGCATTCTGTGCATGTGGTTCCATCAGCAAACCCAGGGGCCCTGTGGTGGAGCTGGTTGCTCCCTGACCCTGGCCCTGCAGCCCGCAGACGCCTCCCTACAGTAGCGTTGTGTGGCAAGCTGCTTCTGGAGGGAAGGATCCACGTTCTGCTTGCCTTTGTGTCTCAGAGGCTCAGGTTGGCTAAGGAAGGGGTGCTGGGGTGCTGGAAGGAACCCAGACCCACAAACAGGCTCTGCATTAGCTTAATGAGACCCTTGGCTTTCAGAGCCTGTTTCTAACATGGGGGTGACCAGGCTCCCCTCTAGTAACAGCAACAGGCATCATAGATCTTGTGTGTGTTCACCTAGCCGGGGGTTTGGCCCTGGGAAGAACTCAGTATGGGGCCGCTCAGACAAATTTCCGGAGAGGACAGGACTTGACTGTTCCAATGCAGCCTCCCTCCCCGCACCTACCTCTCCTTTGGAATCTGCTCAAGGTGCATGTCTCCCGAAAGGCCACTCACCTTTCCCGACTGGGTGTGACTGGGTATGCATGCGACACATGGGCGTGTTTTCTCTTGTCTGTACACCTAGTCAGTACGTTGCTCCCTGCTAACCTGGGTCTGAATTTCTTATCAAGTGTTCCAGAGCAATGGCATCACATGGGGCATGTGCGTGTGTACACGTGCGTGTGTGCGCATGTGTGTGAAATACCAGCTCCCAGGCTGTGCTCCAACTACAGAATCCGAATCTCTGGGGCAGCTGGGGGATGTCCACTGGGAATCAGTACTGTAACACGCACTGCACATTCTTCTGCAGACAGGGCAAACCTGGGGTGAGGGGAGACCCCAGTGGTGCCGGGGCCTGCAGTCGCTGGTCTCTGGATTCAAGGTCTCACCTCCTGATCTCCAGGGCCAGCAGCCCGTAGTTGTTGGTGATGTGGTACTTGCCAGCAGGAAAGAGGCGGGGATCGATGGGCACATCGCCCTTGTACCTGTGGAGACACAGTGCCTATGGCGGGCGGTGCGGCGCCCAGCAGGAAGGATGCGGAGACTCTCAGACCAAGGTCAGCTTTGTCTTAGTGCTGCTCCCTCCTCTGTGCCATCCAGGGGTGGCTCCTTCTGTGCTCTGCGCCTCAGCCTCAGGGCACGGCCTTCCTGGCTGCCGGCCCTGAGTCCTGTTTGTCTCCACGGTGACCAAACACAGCCACCCTCACACACAGCCCCATCCTGCAACCTCTCTGAGTAGGGGCCCACATAGTCTCCATGGGAGGGCAGTGCCTAATCTGGGAACCAATTTTTCCAGCTCTCTGGGTTGTGGGGACCAGGGCCAGGCCCCCACCCTCCACCTGTTCGCAACATTCCTGATTGGGAGGCCAGCCAGGGAAGAGGTGGCAGCTGCAGTCCAGCCTGGAGGGTGGAGTCTCAGCCTCATCCTGCTCTGCCTGGGCCTCAGTTTCCCCAGTGTGGCCAGGCTGGGTGGCGCCTGGTAAGAGTAGCATTAAAGGGGACACCCAGAACCTGACGCAATGCAGACGTTATAAAATAGTGAGACCTTTATTACTTACCTAAGTCTTTTTTTCTTCTACCTATATTCTGATGTTAGACAACTTTTAAGGGTGCTTGTCTAGAGACGCCAGCCCTGCCTCCCTTCTTCCTTCCTTTCCTCCCTCTCTTTTTCTTTTTTTCTGTTTCTGGCTTTGATAGGTTCTTGCTATGTAACCCGGCTGGCCTTGAACTTGTGATCTTCCTGCTTCAGCCTCTCCAGGGTTGGGACCAGGAGTTAGCACCAGCCAGGGCATGCTTTACTTCACTCAAGGCTAAGAACCACCTCCCCATCAATCGTTGAGGGTCCGGGTCCTACCTAGAGACCTGCCAGTCTAATTCCCAAAAAGTAGTTACAATTCAAGCAGTAGTACATAGATCGGTTCTTGGGGAATCTCCAACTTGGGTGCAGCACAGAAACACGTCAGTGTGTCTGAAAGTGACCTTTGGCTGAGGACAAACTTATCACCTTCTTGTCAGGAAGTATAATATCTCACAGATGCAACTATAGCAGAGTGAATTATGGGAAAGGACGTGCAGGTGGCCAGAAATAAAAAACCCTCTTCCTAATCTCAGGGGCGCTGTGAGTCTTTTCATTGGGCCACCCCCACTCTGCAGAGAGCATATTTTTCTCCCTTTTCAATAAAAGCACATTTTTGCTCCTTTTCTGTGTGTCTGGTCTAATCCTTTGTGTGTGACACTGAGAGCCCGGAAAGAGGCTCCATGGGACCCTCTGTGTGGTCACAGGATTATAGATGTGCACCTCCATGCCTGGTTTGAGAGACTGATTCCAACTGGCAACAGTCGGATTCCTGGGTAAGACCCCTTTCTGTGGCTAAACACGCCAGAGTGGGGCGCCCTTGATTTGTCTGGGTGCTGGCCAGCGCCCTGGGGGCCTGGGGTTTCTAACACACCATCAGCAACAGTTTCCTGGGTGCTCTGTGGAAGTCTCACCTGGTTCTCAAACCTGGAGGAACAGACTTGGGTGCTGCCACTCTCCCTTGCTCTGTGTCCCCAGAGCTCCTTAGCAGCGACAGTGCAGGCATCCGAGTATGGCCCAGTTCACCTTCCAGCACTTTTTGCCTTTGTTTTTCACTCTGTACCCCAGCTTGGGCCCCTGGTACCTCAAAGGGGCCAGAGGGCCCTGAATGCCCTGCCGCAGGCTTCCCCAGTAGAGAAGCTGGGCTCCATCTGTGACCATCTTCTGTGAAGCCTCCCTCAGCCTTGCATGCCTCCTCAGCAAGCTGAGTCCTCTCTCCGGGTGCCAGGTGAGAGTTTGGTGCGGCTGCTGCTTTGCTAGAGGTGTGTGTTCGAGTCTTGGCAGGACCTCCACATCAGGAAGTGCTCAGTAACCGCCGAGCCAATGCACTTGCCTGTGTGTGCATGATCTTCCCCGTGGATGAGTCTCTGCAGGGCCTGGGTGGGCACCTGGGAGGCTGACCCCAGACCCACCAGGACCCCTGGAGTGGCCGACAGAGTTACCTCCCAGTTCTGGGAGCTCCAAGGGCCACCTGCGTCGCTGGGGTTAGAGGGGACTGGGTCATGGCTTCCCTCCTTATAGAATGCTCAGCACCGTGTGGTAGCAGCCTCCTTGGCTGGAGTGGAAACCAGTTCCCCTTCTGAGAGGGGAAGAGTGGAGGCTCTGACCAGAGAGCCCAGGGCCGTGCTGAAAGCTTTCCTCCTGCTAGGATCAGCCACTCGCATGTGGGACTGCCTTGGTCCTCATGGGACCTCAGCACCAGGCACAGTGCCCAGCATACTTCTTTGAATAAGCACGCCTGATAACAACCAGCCTTGGGGCTGACCCTCTTGATATGCCTTTCTTACTGTCTCGGTCTAAGTGCATCCTATTTCCCACTCCTGAGCACTCCTTGCCCTTTATAGGAAATAATGACTTCAAGATCACACTCTGGCTCACTAGGCCACGTGGAAAGAGTTGTGAGCTTGGAGGCAGAAGCCCTGAGTCTGAATCCTGGTTCACACTGCTGAGTGACCTTAGATAAGTTGTATCATTCCACTGAGCCTTGTTAGTCTTATCTGTGAAATGGGGTAGCAATTCCCCCGGCATGAGTAACCCTGAGGCTCAACTGAAAGAAAGGTATAAAGTGGCAACGGGCCTTAGACCCCAGGAACTCAGGAAACAGTGGCTCTACCGTGTGGGCAATGTGTCTCCTTCTGGGGTATGGCCAGGTGCACCCCATCTCTACCATTCCTGTTCCAGGGACCCTGCCCACCCCAGTTGGCCTAGCCTACTTCTGCTCTCAGAAATGGCCTCTCCTGTTTCCCCAGATTGTTTCAGGTTCTGAGGGCTTCTGTGTTGTAAATCCTTACCACCTGCAAATGGAGTGGAAGGTCTTCAACCCACTCTACAGAATAGGAAACTGAGGCAGACCCAGAAAGGTTGACATATGTGCTTGAGACCATACCCTGGGCTAGCAGAGAGAAGCTGAGGCCTGCATGGCTCATACCTGTGGTCTGAGCTCCCCCTCCCATTAGGACCTGCCCTCCCCCCTCCTGCCTCTCGCCACCATCCTCTGGCCCTGAAGATGCCCTGCTCAGAGCAGCTGTCTTCGTCTGCCACCAGAATCATATTTTTACAAGGCTGGCTCCCTGTGGAGGCTGCATGTCCAGCCCCGGACTGGCGGGGCGGTGGCTAAGAATAACTGAGGCCCGAGGCTCCCCAGCAGCTGTCCTGTCTGGGGATGGGCAGAGTCGGGGTCTGTGTCTGTGGCTTTGCCCCCCGGGGGAGACCTCACAGGCCCCGACGCTCACCAGGTGACCTGGGGCGGAGGCGAGCCCTGGACGGTGCAGGTCAGCAGGACCGTGGTGTGCTCCCAGACGGCGTGGGAGCGGAGGGGGATCCAGAACCAGGGTCCCCGGCCAGCACACAGCTCCCGCAGCTCCTTGGCCTCCCGGATCTTCTCCTCTGTCTGGGGCAGGAGAGGGGGTCGCATGTGAGATTCCCATTGAGAGGTGGTGCTGCCCGGTGGGCAGGGCATGGGCTGGGGTCAAGGCCTGACTCTGCTCTTACTGGAGGATGGACCTAGGCAGGGCCTCAGTTTCCCTACCAGTAAACTAGAGATGATGGTGACCCCCCCCACACACACCACCACGGGGTCCTAGTGGGTCAGTGTGGAGAAACGTGTGTGCCCCGGGGAGGGGTGATGGGGAGTGACTTCAGACCCCTGTATTTGCTGGGATGGATTCCCTGAGGGCCTTGTTTTGTCGCAGGCATGGGGAAAGTCACCTCCCAGACCCAGGCTCATTTAATTCCCACCGGGGAGTTGTTAGGACCACATCTGTGTCACCCACGAGAAAACCACGCTCCTCCAGGAGTCCCTCATCCCGGTAACACAGCCCCAGGGTGGGGAGCCGGGATTCGAACTCAGGGCCGGGGCCCTTTCCTGGATGCCCGGCAAGGGGCCGTGCTGGGTGGCTCACCCGCTGCCGCAGCGCCCTCCGGTCCCGCCGCTGGCGCAGCAGCCGGTGGGTGCGCAGGTAGCCGGCCTCGGCGCGCTCCCAGGCGTTGGCGAAGCGCACCCGCTTCTGCCCACGCTCCTCCAGCTCCACGGCCGAGGTCTGGCGCCTCAGCCGGGCTTCCCTGCGTGACAGGTCACCGGGGCGTGGAGCAGGTCAGGCCGGCCGCCCCTGCCAGGCCCCCCGGGAAGCTCTCGGACTCACCAGGTCAGCTCCGAGGAGGCCGTCAGAGCCAGGGCGGCGGCCAGCGCGTAGTCGGCGGCGCTGAACTGATGCTCTTCTTCGCTGCTCCGGGAAAACGGGGTTCATGGCTGCTGCACGTCGTCGGACGGGGGCTCCCCCAAATGAGGGTTGTGTTGGTGCTGTCCGGCAGGCTGAGCCCCTCTCTAGGCCGTGGCCCCCCCCCAGCCCCTTCCCCACGCTCCCACCTGCTGCGGAAGGTCCGCCTGCGCACCGAGGAGCCCATGTGCAAGCTGTGCTGCCGCTGCTCCTTCTGTTCCTCCTCCCGTCTGTGCTCCAGCCTGTGAACCTGCACGGCTTGGGGGTTCTGGGGCTCCCCCCCACCTCCAGGGTTGTGGGGCAAAGTCATGGCTGCGAGATCGACAACCTGCAAGGTCGAGGCACACACAGTGGTTCCATCAGTCCTGGCCTGTCCCACTTCCTGCGCACCCCTCCCCACGTCTCTGGGATGGTTTGGGGTGAGGGGTTCTCTCTCTAGTGGGAAGACACAGAAGCGAGGTCTGAGAGGGACAGGACAGAGACGGGCTCAGGCTCAGAGTTCAGTTTCCACTTCTCCCTCACCCCGTGTGATCTCCTGGCTGAGGGGGCAGGTTCTGCTCAAAGGATCAGGTCCCTGCCTGCCTTGCAGGCCACTGGGGGCCACGCCTCCCATTCTCTGGCCTTCTCTTCCCAGGCCTGAGGACAGCACAGTGATGCCCAATGCTATGTCTAGAACTCAGAACAAGCGGGTGTTTCCAGGATCTTAGTTTCCGGTCCTAGAGAGCCCCTCCCCTTCCTCCTGCGAAGTGAGGATGCCCCTGGCCATGGTGCTATGATCCCCAATTCCTCATTTCAACTTCCAGTGTGTGACCTTGGACTCAGTTTCATGACTTGATTTCCCCTTCTGTAAAATGGGCCTACCAACCTTCCAGGGCAGCCACGAAAGTTAGATGAATGCCTGGCACTTAATAATACACAAGAATTCAACATTAGCATGATTTTTTTCTAAAGGAAAAAAAATGCCCTTCTGAAAAGCCTCCAGGTCGGCAAGAACTTTCTCCCTTTGCACTGAGGAGGAAGGGGAAGCCTGGGTGATGGGTTGCAGGGCATGATTGGCATCAGATGTGCCCAACCCCACCCCTTCCAACCTGGTCCTCTGAGTCTACTCGAGGTCAGGCTTTGGCTGAGGCTGGGACACAGTGGGCCACTTGGGCTTTTTTCTCCTTAGGGCACCACAAATGTACAAATCCTCTCTTGTATCCTTGAAGCTCAGGTTCTGGACTGCACTGACCAGGAATCTGGGAGTAAGCAGGGCGCGTGGGTGGCCAGGGCAGGCTCTGGCTTTGGGTTTGGGTTCTAAATTCGTTTTAGACCAGGCCTCAGTGTCACTGCTGGGTTTCTGACAGCCCCTTGGAGACCAAGCTGAGGACACTGTGGACTCCCCAGAATGATGCTCCAGGTGGGCATCCTGGTGGTGGGCATCCTGGTGGCAGGGTTCTACCATGGTAGTGCTTGCCTGAACTGGAGAAGGGAACAGAAGGGGGAAGATGGCCCTCAGCTTCTCCAGAGGCACCTGCTCAGGGTGACTCCATGTGTGTGTGTGTGTGTGTGTGTGTGATATGGTCTTCTGACCTGGGTGTGGACATAGCACCCAGGGGACCCTTTCTGTGATGGAGGGAAGATGATCCCACTAACCTTCAAGACCCCTTGGCTGGAAAGGGCCTGGTGTGGGGTTTGCAGGCTGCTGAGGGTCCTCTCAGTGGGCAGACTCTTCTTCCTGCTAATGGATTGCTCCCATTGGGTGTCTACAGCCGAGCACACCAGGAAGGACAGCAGATTGCTACAGAACAGCGATGACCAGGGGCCTTCCTTGATGGTCCTTCGGCTGCTGCTGAGAATCTCAGCGATGGGTCAGTGGCAGTCACCCTCTTTGGCTTCACTTCTGTTTCCCCGGGTGGAAGAGAGTCTCTCCACATCCCAAGAAGCAGCCGCGCCCTCTCATTCTGCCCTCTCCTCCTCACAGCCCAGGACAGCTGCTGGATACCACGCTGGGCTGAGCGAGGCTCCCATGCCTTCCTGGGACACTGTGGTCCTGGCCCCAGCAGCGCAGGATTAACGTTCCTGGGCGACGGCTGTTGGCTCCCTGCCCCTGCTGCTGTGTCCTCATTAGCACCGTGGCTGGCCTGGCACTCATCCCTGACCTCGGGGCCTCGGCAAACAAACCCCCTGGCGCGGATGAGCCAGCGATGCTTTTTAAAGCACTGATATGTGGGATGAAACAGGGAGGGGTCTGCAGCCTCTGCTGCCTTTTCCACCACAAGAGGTGCCCTTCCGATAGCTCCCCGTGGCCTGCAGGGAAGGGTCAGCACCCCACTTCTCCTGCAGAGACCCCCACAGAGCCCCTCCCATCCTCTGGAGGGAGAGAAAAGCCCTCAGTTGAGACATTTGGCGGCCAAGCCCGCTGAGAGCTGGTGACAGAGAAGCGGCCCTGGTGGTGAAAGCAGGGACGTCCTTCCCGGGTGGACTGTGATGGCTGGGCTGGGACATGCTGTGTCTTCCCCAGCTCCCTAGAGGCTAGGATGACCCGGCCCTGATGAGCAGAGGCCTCTCCCTTCCTGGCCGGCCCTCCATTAGCTGCCAGGCACCGGACGGAATCCCTTCCGGCTCTGAGTTTTGGGATCAGGGCTTGGTCTCTCTCTGCTGTGCGGTCAGCAGGTGCGGCCAGCCGGCTCCAAGTGGGACATCCCAGCTCAGCCGGGTCCCTACGATGGCCGCTCCATGACTGCCAAGACTCCATTTCTGGAGGTACCTCCGATGCCCAACGGTCTTTTACGTTTTCAGCTTTCAGAGCACAGGGGAGTCATCTCGGAAGACTTGGGGGGCTGTTTCTGAGTCCCTTCCCCATTTTCACAAGCATGAATCTTTTAGACCCTGTTGCAGCACACACACACACACACACAATCACTCCCCAAGGGAAAGCCAAGGTCTCCCTTTCTTGAAGTGTCCCTTCCTACCCCAATTCCCCAATTCTGGGAGACAGATAACTCACAAAAGCAGCTGTGTCCAATTAGGGAGCAGATCCCGATCCCGAGGGAGAGGGGTCCTCGGTGTCTTCTTGCCCTCTGCTCAGTGAGGACAGAGAAGACCGCGATCCTGGAGCCGGCACACGGCACAGTTTTATATATAGCAGTGCTGGGACAGTGTGATATGACAATGGATGGGAACTACGGCGGGGGTGCGGGCGGGGGAGGGCCGTCCCGTCCTTCTAGCACTGCTGGGCAGAGCGACAGGTGGAGCGCCCCCACCCCCTGCTCCTCCCTCACCCGCTGCTTCCGCCAAGTCTTGCCCCTGTTCAAGCGGAGAGTGGAGAGCAGCGGCTGAGGCCCGGCTGGGTGGAAGGTGGACAGGGATGGCTTTCCCAGCGGCGAGAGTTCAAACCTGAGCTCTTCCTCGGGCTGCTGGGTGCCCTCGGGAAGATGCTTGGCTTCTCTGATCCGATTCCCTTTGTGAAAATCAGAGACTGTGGTTCCTGGAATCCACACTTTACCAAGGCAGAGGAGTGGCCACAGGACATTAGGGGCCGGAGAGCACCTGGGGGCCATCAGGAAGGGACCTGTGGTCAGGTCCTAGTGGACTCAGGTCTGGGAAGGCTCCCCATCTGTCTCACAACTTTCTAGCTGTGTGACCTTAGACAAGTCACCTCACTATTGTCGTTTGATTATCTGTACAGTGGAGGACAATAATGCCCACCATGCAGTCTGGCTGAAAAGATTTAATTAAGATGTATGCAACCTCTGGCAGGCCTTGGTACCATCCCCCAGCACCCAGGAGGCTGAGGCAGGAGGATGATGAGTTCAAGGGCAATATGGGCTACACAGTGAGATCTGTCTCAACAAAACAAAATAAAAAGGAGAAGGAAAAGAAAAAAAAGGAAAAGGAAGGGGAACCTGCAACCTTCAGGACAGTGCCTGGTCCCCAAGAGATGTTTGCTACATGATGGCTGTGCCAGAGGGCCTTCTGTCCCTCCTGTGGCCCTTGGGCTGTCCTCATGGTAGTGATGCCCTACCTATCACTGGGACCTCTGTAACAAATAACAGCCAGGCTGTAATGGTTTATGTCTAGATGCCCCCTCAAAGCTTCATGCACTCGTAGGTGTGGCTTTGGGGACTGAGACTTGGATGCGTGATACTGGGTTGGATCACTGACGGGTTATAGCTGAGTATGATGTTGGGAGGTGAAGCCTGGGGGTAAGAGTCTGCGGACATAGCCTGCAAGGCCATTGTATATATTTCTCCCCTGATGGCCTGAGGCTTGTTGCCTGCCATGCCATGGGCTGTTTCTCCTCTGCCATGCTGCCCTGTCTTGGAGCCAGCCAACTAGGGACTCTACAACGTGAGCTAAAGCAAACCTTTCTTCCTTTCATTTGTAGGTGTCAGGTATTTGGTCCTAGAAATGGGGAAGCCGCTAAGATAAACATTGGCTGTGAGACTGGGCAAGTTGGATGATTCGGAGTCCCACAAACTTTGGCATAAAATGACTTGCAGGCCAGGTGTGATGGCTCACACGTGTTATCCCAGTATTCAGGAGGCTGAGGCAGGAGGATCACTATGCGTTCAAGGCCAGCCTGGGCTACAAAGTGAGACCCTGTCTCAAAAAGTCTCCCACAACAAAAAAATGACTTGGAGTCCTACAAACCTTGGTAGAAGTTCCAACTTCTGGTAACTCTACTTACGGATAAATCCCTGGAGATTAAGGGGAGTTTGGTCTCCTTCCTGGCCTCAGTTTCTTTATCTGTGTTTTAAGCCAGAGGAAACTTTACTGTTCATTTTATCTTTAACCCAAGAATAGTGCATGGCATACAACTAGATCTTGAATTTGGGTTTGTTTAAAATAAATGAAAGAATGGATGAATAACAGCTTACTTCGTTCAGGCTGCTATAACAAAGTACCTTAGGAATGTATTTCTTACAGTCCTATAGCTGGGATGTTCAAGATCGAGGTACCAGCAGATTCAGTGTCTGGTGAGCGCTCCTCCTGCTCCAGGATGATGCCCCTCCTTTCTGTATCTTCCTGTCATGGAAGCGACTATAGAGGTCTCTCTCTCTCTCTCTCTCTCTCTCTCTCTCTCTCTCTCTCTGGCACTGGGAACTGAGCCCAGAGCTTTGAACTGAGCTACATTCCCCAGCCATTTTTACTTTTATTGTTTATTTTGAGGCAGGGGCTTGCCAGGTTGCCAAGGCTGGACTTGAATTGTGATCCTCTCGCTTCAGACTCTCAGGCATGCAACCATCACGTCTGGTGTGCACCAATCATTGTTATCGGGATATTAATCCCAGTGCTGAGGGTGGACCCTTGTGACCCACTCACTTTCAAAGGTCCTACCTTTTAACTGGCCCTGAGTTTCAACATACAAATTTGAGGGGACACTAAACATTCAGATCATAGCAGGCTGTTTTACAGAATGGTTGTAGAATTCAAATTGTTGTCAAAAATGCATAAAATTCCTGGCATTATAGTTGGCTTCTATTTCTTTGGTTCTCTCCTTTCCCTTTCTTTTTTCCTTTCCTTCCCTTCTTGGACATGTGACCAAACTGACAGTTATTTGAATACTGCCTCTCCTTCTGGCCTCCATCTTTCCGGAGAGCAACCAAACTGTCCTTGGCCGATGGCGCCATCTAGTGGCCAGAATGGGGAACCTGCTGACAGGACGCTCCTGGGCTCCTTCCTCTGCTCACAGATAAAGCTTCTGCATCCTCTTCTCCGTTCAGTCTGGCGTCACAGGGAGTTCCAGCTGCTGTTCTCATGGGCCCAGGTCAGACCTTACATTTCTGTACCTTGTTCTCCTTACAGCAGGAGGAAAAGGGGTTCAAGCAGCCTGTGGGCGAGCCGTGGGCTGGCATCTCAGAGCGGCGGCCCCCAGTATTAGCTCAAGCAGGACGTGTCCCTCAGGTTTGCCAGCTTCAGCTTACTGCTCTATGCCAGGCTGACACTCAGACGTGGAGGATACAGGAGGATCCGCTCTCTGTGATCCCTCGGAGCTCAGCACCAGTCTCTGGGTGGGGCTCAGGCATCTTCACGTGGCCTAGGGTGGGACCATGGGGTTTGCAGGCCTTGTGGCCTCTGGCCCATCCCAGGAGGTGACTCAAGGGAGGAGAGTCTGGGCTGCAGATGGAGGAACGTGGAATGAGGGCAGCATCCCCTCAGCATAGCTGAGAGGAATTCCAGAGGAATTTGTTAAGAATGCAGATTTCCCAGGACCTATGGATCTGGGGTCAGGGGAGCTGTATTATTAGTTAGCTGCCCAGAGATTTTTTTCACTAGGAGGCAAATTTAGCAAATTGATGAAGGAAAGTTGCTTTTCTGAGCCACATTTTCTTCCTTTCCAAAATATCAATAATGTGACCTACCATAGAATGAAGGTTAACAGGACAGAGAATCATGAAGAATAATGAAGCTGCCGAATGACCTGCTTAGATTCCTCCTCCTCTTTCTTCCTAGTACCACTGCTCCCGCTACTGTCATAATCTGCTTGTGTCAGTCAGCTTTCTGTCACTGTGACAAAACACCTTAGATAATCAGTTTATAAGGAGGGAAGGTTTATTGTGGCTCTTGGTTTCAGTCCATGATCAGCTGGCTCTGTTGCTTTCTGGATCTCGGAGAAGCAGAATATCATGATGGGGAGGACACAGCTGAGAAAATCCACTCACCTCATTGGTGGCCAGAAAGGAAAAAGACAGGAAGTGACCAGAACCCTAACATCCTTTTGAGAGTTTGCCCCCAGTGACTTCACGCCTTCCACTAAGCTCCATGTCCTGAAGGTCCCACCACCTCCCAAGAGCACCATCAGCTCAAAACTAAGTCTTCAACACGTGAGCCTTTGGGGGACTCCTAAGATGTGAACCATAAACTCCCTACCTGTGGTTTTGCTTGCTGTGGTTACATGGACTCAACCATAGTCTGAAAATGTTAAATGGGAAATCCCCCACATAGTCCCAGTTCATAAGTTCAAGGTTGAAGACCATTCAGAGTAGCTCAGTGAAACCTCGCTCTGTCCTGCTCCACCCAGCTCCAGCCGTGATTCCTCCCTTTGCCCAAGGCAGCCACACTGTACGTGATGCCCTCCCATTAGCCAGTAACCATCTGCATTTGGCATCTGTGGTATCGTGGGGGCAGGTAACCCTTATTTTACCCAATCCAGTCATTGTTCTATTTTATTATTTTAATCTCTTCTTGTACATAATTTATAAGTTAATTTTACTGTGGGTCCGTATAGGCAGAAAAAAACACAGTGTATACAGTATTCCATACTATCCAGGGCTTTGGCCACACTGGGGATCTTAGAACGTTTCCTCTGAGGATAAAATGGGGCCGTGTATTTCTGTTCACTTACGCCTGGGTGTCATGTCTCGGAGGCGGTGATACGTTGGAGACTCACCTGTCTGGGATGGGCAGGGCAGGGCCCTGAAGCTTCCTGGTATGAGGCCAGAGCTTGGAACTTTCAGGATTGGCATGGTCCTCCGGGACTTGGACACCTGCCCTCTAACTGGCTCCAGTTCATCCACAGGCCTGGGCTGACTGGGAAACCAAGACTCCCATGGCCCTGCAGCCTGGTCCTTGCACCTCGGAGGTCCCTGACTCTTCACCAGATCCTCGGACTCCCCCCTCTGAGGATTATTTTTGGAATGTTTGTACCCCATGTGGTCCTGTGAGTTGGAAGAGATGTTCACGACTCTTACTAAGAAACCTCTGTGTCTCCCTGGACCCACTGGCCTGGTAAGAACAGTCCAGCCATTCTGTTGTTTTCACTAATAAATAAGGTGAAGACAGGTAACCTTTGGCCAAGGGACAGGAAGTAGACTTGTTTGCAGTGTGCATGCCAGGCTGCACAGGTGGGTGCCTTCCCTGCCTCTGCTGCGCAGATATCGGGTCAGTGACTCTGAAGAGATGTTAAATATTAATTGCACACAGATAAGAACCCCATCACTTGTCACCATGCCCCAGGAAGGGAAGACCAAGCAAGCACAGCCAACTACAGAAAAAGGACATTGTGTCCTCCCGGAAGGGCTGCTCTTAGGCAGCTGGAGTTCGATCTTGTTTCTCAGAAACTTGGGGCAATAAGGTGATCAGGGATCCCTTATCTTTCAGCGACCTATGAGGGTGCTCCTCCCTTCTTAGGCCTCAGCAGTCACATACTCTAAGAGTTCCACCAGGTGTGGAAAAGTTCTCTTGATAAGGACCAAGATCTGGGCACCAACTCCACCATGGCCTGCAGAGTGGCACCATGGGGGTGACCGTCACCTCTCAGAGCCTCACTTTTCTCCACTCAGGGTCACTGAGATGCGAAGAGAGGAAGATGTGATGGCTTTCAGAAAGCACGGAAGAGGGTGCCTCTCCTTCCAGGAGTGGACTCAGGCTGGCCTGGGGTAGGGGTGGCAGAAGTCAAGAAGGACAGAAGCCCATAGAGGTGGCTGCAGTCAGAACAGCTTCCACTTCTAGTGCAGGCACAGGGCTCTGCATCGTCAGTGTCTGTACCCTGTTTCCAGAGAACTCTGCAGCCTCCCCCTTTGCCCCTCCTGAGCCATCCAGTCCTTGGCTTGGCCAGAGCAATCCTGGGGCAGCCCGGCTCCTCTGAGTCCTGGAGAAAGTGCCCAGGGGGTCAGAAGCCAGCTCACACGGATGGGGTCACTCTTTGCATTGCCAGATCAATAAAAAAATCACAACAAGAACAGCCACATTTTTAGGGCACCACCCATGTGCCAGGTGTTGTTAAGCACTTCATAAATATTAATTTCACATTCACAATAGATGTTATTGTACCCATTTTGCAAATGAAGAAACTGAGATTCTGAGCTCTGATTCACTGGGTGGGTAAGAATTGAGGCTGGAATTTAAACCCAAACGGACTGCACACAGGGCTGATTTCCAAAGCTGTGTGATACAAATAGTTTGTGTCTGGGTCCCCTTCAGGGGTTGTGTAGCCTTGTGTTTCTCTGTCTTTCTGTCCTTTAGTAGTGAGGATTGAACCCAGAACTTTTATACTGAGCTAAGTTCCCAGCTCCTTTAAAAAAAATTTTTTTTTTGTCTTTTTGAGGCAGGGTCTGTATGCCATTCAGGCTGGCCTTGAGCTCACTTTGTAACCCAGGCTGCTCTCGAACTTGCAAGAATCCTCCTGCCTCAGCCTCCCGAGTGCTGGGATTACAGGCGTGAGCCACCACGCCCAGCAAAATTTTTTGACATTTTAAGTCAAAATCTTACTAAGTTGTTAAGTTGCCCAAACTGAGCTCAAAGTTTTGATACTCCTGCCTCAGCCTTCCACAGTGTGGGACTGCAGGCACGTACCACCATACCAGGCACGACATCCCTTTCCAATCTAGTTCTCAGGATAAAGTTGGAAATTACTGTTTGAAGGAAAGGCTTGTGTGACTGACTCTCCGGACTGCATTCTCTGGATAGTGAAGCAGGAATGTCATACTTCAGTCACAGGCCCTGGTGTGGACCAAGCCCCAGCCATACCCCTCCCAGCAGTTGGCCTCTGGCCTTGGCAGCAGGGCAGGTTGTTCCGGTTCTGCCCAGCCTCCCACTGCAGACTCCTTCTCCCATCTCAGACAGACACCTCACTGTGCTGAGCTAGATTACAAAATGGGACAGGAATGGGGTCAGGCTCCTGGCCAGCATCCTCAGAGCTGGGCCCTAGGTCTCCAGAGCTTGCCTGCATTACCTCCCTGCACCCTGACGGCCTTGCCCGCCACCTCCTGAGAGCTCACCATCTGCCCTGAGCTCCTCCAGCTGGAGCCCTCATCACGCCTTTGAGCTCCTACAGGGAGCTTGCCCACGGCAGGCCTCGAATCCCCCTTTCTCTGGCTCTTCCCCAGGTCTCCCACATGGGTTGGGCTGCGGAGTGGGGCATAGCTGGGGATGAGGTTGACAGCCTAGAAGATACCAGTGGGGACTGAAAAAAGCTCAGGCCAGTCCTGTTCCTCTCAGGACTCCCACTGCACGGTGAGGGCCAGGTCTTGGAAAAGACAGTCCAGCTCTGAGGGCTGCTCCAGGTCCAAGGCCCCAGGGCCTGAGCTCAGGCCCCCAGCCTCAGATGCTGGAACCTCATCCTTGGGACACACAAGGGAGTCCAGCAGGCCCCAGGGACGTGGCCCCTGGTCGGAGGGGGAACAGGAGGGGGAAGGAAGGTGCAAAGCGAGCGACAAGGGGTGGCCTTCGATCCGCACAGAGGAGAGGAGGGAGAGTGAGCCTGGTAGGTACAGAGGGGTCTGTGGCTCCCCGCTGGGTAGCAGGTCCAGTTCTCTGTCTGTACAGACCCCCAGGGGTGAGAGGAACAGTTTTGCTTCTTGGGGTTTCTCCAAAGTCACAGATGTCATTTCTTGCAGAGAGACGTCACCCAGGCTGACGCTTTCCACTGGTGCCTCTTTTTGGAGCTGACCTTTCTGCCTGAGAAGCTTGGGACTGGAGGGTATCTCCAGAGGGGAGTCTGTGCTGCAGCCTTCCAGGCACACCCCGTAGGAAACAGGCCCACTGTCACCCGTGGCCTGTGGGGCGTATGAGGGAGGTTGGGCCTTGGAGACAGCCTGCAGGGTGTAGGGTAGGGCTTTGGTGTTGGGGGCCACCTGCGGAGTGTAGGAGGGGGGCCTGACCTCAGGGGCTGCCTTCGGGGTGTAGGACGGTGGCAGGGAGAGCGTCTGGGGAGGGGGCACACCAGCAACCCCGAGGATGGAGATGTCCGAGTGTCCTAAGTAGGCCATCTCGGGCAGGCTGTGCAGTGGAGCGGCCCCTGGGGGCTCCCTGGGCGCAGAGGCTATGACCTGGGTGTACTGCACCGGCTGGGTCAGGCTGCCGGGGCTGCGGAGGTCCAAGGCGGGGATCAGCACGTGCTCCTGGATGAGGCGCAGCGGCTGGAAGGTCAGCACTCGCTGGACATTCTGCGCAAGGACAACAACCGCAGCTCTGAGGATGCATTCTAAGCTCCTGAGGTGGGAGCTGTGAGTGCCTGAGGTCCTCCGGGGGGAGGCACGGGGAGGGGCCATTTCTGGGGTCCAGGCCTGGGCTGGGGGTGGCTCAGTGGCAGAGCCAGTGCCTGGCATAATTGAGGGCCTAGACCCCACTCCCACCATAACAAAGATAAATAACCAAGTAACACATGTGTCCACCTCCCGTCTGCACCTCAGTGATCCCCCAGAGAGCATGAGGCTCTAGGCTACGTCTACATCTGTGTCCTCTCTGGGAGACAGATTTAGGCTCTTTTGCTGAGACAGATAACTGATGATCCAGATAGCTGGTGATCCAGATTTGGGGGTGTTGTGTGGCTCGTGGGCCTTGGAGGGCCTGATACAGGGGTCAGGGTGGAAAGGGAGGGGCAGCAGGGGACTCCAGAGGAGCTGACAGATGCAGCTCATGGGCACGTGGACGTTAAGCAAAGCACCTTCAGAGCCGCCGTCCCTCAGGGGGGCAGCAGGTTCCAGGTGGTTCAAGGCCACCGGGAGTCCTGCTGCTGGAGCTCAGAGGCAGCTGTGGCTGTGATTAGATCAGTTTGCACAGGGAGCTGCAGTTTAAGTTTAGCTGCTGATGTCTGAAATTTGGGAGATTTCACATTACAAACTGAAATTCTGGCTTTTCTTGAAAAAACATGAAGCCAGGACAACATCTGGCCCGCAGGCCCCTAGCTGTCACTCGGGTCCTGTTACGCACCTGGCCCTGGACATGCTTGGGCCTGATAGCTTTTCTGTCCCACGTCTACCACCTCTGGTCTCCTACCCCTCTGCTGGTCACCCCTGTTGTCAATGTTGGGCTGGACCAAAATTCCAACATCAGACTGGCAGACCTATTCTGCTTTGTGTACGGACCCCGTGCTTTGGGGACCCCTTGCCCAAAGTGGAGCTTTGAGGTCCTCCCTGATGCCCTCCCTCCCGCTCAGGTAGGGTGACTTACCAGAGAGTTAGGGGGCACAGGTGGCTTTGTGATATATTTGTAGCTCAGATAGCAAAGCACGCTGAGAAAGAAGCCCGAGAAGAAGAGTATGGCGCCCGAGAAGGTGTAGGTCCACGTCCGATCTGGGGGAGGGGAAGCAGCGTGAGGCGGCCTGACCCAGGGCGGGCTGCAGAGCCGGATAGGTGCTCTGCTCCCTCAAGGGTGGAGGTGCAGGGAAAGCCACCTGGGGCCCCCAGGCCAGCGCGGCTCCACCCCACTGCCAGGGCCTCGTCCACAGGCCGCCTCCTTTAGGTCCCTGCAAAGAGTCACCAGTTGGTCTCCCTGGGGGCCAAGAGTCTGCACTTGAGTCAGCATCTGCCAAAGAGTTTGCCTAGACAGAACGTGGGCTTGGGCCACAGGCAAGGGACTTCAGGGTCCCAGTACTCAGAGCGTGGTCCTCAAGGGCGGCTGCTGGGTCCAGACGGACCTGTTCTCTTCACTGTGTGGCCCCTTCACCTTGTGGGGAGGGGTAAGGCCAGAGCAGAGCCCCCTGGAGGGCAGGGTGCAAGGCAGAGCCCACCCCGCCTCTGTCTAAGGCAGGCAGGGGAGGGGACAGCAGGAGGGACACAAGTGACCACCTTCCTGTCCTCTCTGCCTCCCTGCCAGCAAGGCCTGGGTGCTGGGGAGGATCTTGCTTACTGCCGCCCGCTCTTAAAGGCACAGAGGGGAGGCTTCTCCCTGCCCAGCGTGTTGTGATGGGCACTTTCAGGTCTTGGTGTGACATCTCCCCGCAAGCGGTCTGAGCCTGCTCCTTGCTCCTGCCCTAGCCCGTGTGGCCTGGGCCGCTCTGGGTCAGCTGCCATTGTCACGTGACCCCCATCAACGCTCTACTGTTTCTGCACGATGCGCCTCACATTAGTGGGAAACTGCTGCTCCTTTCATGGGAGTGGGCTGGGACGGGGACATTGCCTGGCTTGAGACATTTTCCACATGCTGTTTTTCCCAGAAGGAGGAGGGATAGGGTAACAAAACGCCAGTCTAGGGTAAGGAATATACAGCACTAGAGGTCTGGCTCAGCCATTCATGTGCCAGACGTTCTCCTGGCTACACAACCCTGTCTCCCCTTTACTAGTACCAGCTACCCATGCAACATGTCCTGTGAGCCATGCAGTGCGCTGCGTGCTCTGCCTATCATCCTGGCAAATCATCAAAACCACGCTAAAGGATAAGGATGCTCCTTTCTTACAGAGCACAGACTGAGTTTCAGAGAGGTTAAGTGACTTGACCATGATCACACAGCTTCTCAGCGGAAAAGCCCAATTAACATGTAGGCCTCCAAATCTCTTCCTCATAGCCACTCCTTAAAGACGTCTGTTTGCTCATTTGTACTCATAAAACAACGACCTTGCGATCTATATCCTATGCCAAGAAGCTGGCACAGTGCTCTGTGATTCTCCAGGCATCCCGGAAGGAAATCAAGGGGTCCTGGGTCTGGGGTAAAGCAGATTCCATGACACAGGGTCACAGGGCAGGATGTGTCACTCTGACAAAGAAGAGGAATAATGTGCAGTTGGCGGGACTGGCTAGAAACCCAGCTGCAGAGTGGAGGTTAGAGCCCAGGCTGCAGATCCAGCTGACCAGCCCTATGTTCCTGGACAGGCTATGTAACCTCTCTGAGCCAGGCTGGGACATCTCTGTAAAATGGGGGTGATGCAACCTAATGTGCGGGATTGTTTTAAAGGTAAGTAACATATATAATAAAAAAGATGGCAGAATGGATGCAAAGCGTTCGACACATAGTAGAAATACAGTAGCGATTAATAAGTGGTGGGAACTGTTTTTAGTGTGCTGTATTTTGACGGCTAAGGTATCATCTATGTATCAGTGAAAGATACTCATCAGGAAGTGTGATTTATATGAAAGCAGCTCCCAGAAAAAGTGATGCCACGTTACAGGTGAGGTCATGGCAGGAAAGGCACCAGGAGGGCATGTTGTCGGAAACAGGGTGAGGTCTATCTGCTAAACTCAGAGGGGAGAGTCATGGGCCACGCATCACTGCTGGCTGGGTGTCCACCAGGCTCATTTCCATTCTCTAGCTTCCTCTGGCCTGGGTCTGCTGTGGTGTCCCTGGCCTTGTCCAGAAAGCATGCCCAAGAGTGGCTTGGTCCACTCTAACCGCAGCTCTCTGCAGGGGAGGTTGTGGGATTTGATGGGCACTTGGTGCAGCTGATAAGTTGAGTTTCTGTGTAAAGCCAAGAATGGGACCCACTCACTCGCTGGGCCATGTGCCGTGTCCAGTTCCTGGCTAAGTTCTATTCTTTGATGTGGGCTCAGAAATCACACACAGATACTAATCTGGCTAAAGCAGAGACTATTCTCTACTAAGCCATCCAATTTGCTGCTATCGTGTCCAGGCTGTACTCCTGCAGCTTGAAGAATGGCAGTGTTTCTCCCTGCCTAGGAAAAGAAACACTAATAAAAAGATCAGAAGCTGGACGTGGTGGTACACATCTGTAAACCCAGCACTCTAGGGGGCTGAGGCTGACAGATGGCAAGTTTTTTGAGACAGGGTTTCCTTATGCAGTTAAGGCTCATCTTGACCTCACTGTGTGGCCCATGCTGACTGCAAAGAGGTCAGTGATCTTCCTGCCTCCGACCACTGAGTGCCAGAATGTGAGGTGTGTGCTACCACACCTCACAAGATCACAAATTTGAGTCTTGCCTAATCAATTTGGCAAGAGCCTATCTCAAAATAAAATATAAAATAAAATGGCCTGGGAATACAGCTCAGTGAGGAGGCCCTACATTCAATACCCAGCACTGTCAACAACTAAACAGACAAACAAAAGCAGATGCTTATGATGAACGCTGAGTTTCACTTCTGTAGTTGTGCAGTCGCAGGAACATGGTCTCCGGAATGGGCCTTGTTCTATCCCTCACCACCTGTGTGACCTTGAGTGAGTTATTTCAGTTTCCTGTTCAGCAGGAGGAGGATGGGGACAGTACCTGCCTCGCACACTGCTCGGGAGCCTGGTGTCTGGTCAGCAATGCAGTGAACCTAGTTATCGTCATAACCATTGCTGCTCTAAAGAAGCCATCATGGGATCCTGTCACCTTCTTTGACCTTCCCTCTGCCACGTGTAGATCCCTGGCACCCCCTCTGCCCTCATGTGTATCACTTGCGTTAATGTTAAGGTGAGTTTAGTCTGCCAGGGTACACACAATACTGGCCAGAGAGAGGAAATTCAGACTGAAGCTGAGGGTGGGGATAAAGCCTTTGCTATGACAACGCATCCGCTATCATGGTTATGAAAAGCAAAGATCAGTCTTAATAACACACCAATAACCCTGCCATGGCTTTTCAGCACGCTGCCAAACTTTACCCTGGGTACCAGAGGGAGCGGGCAGCAAGCTCAAGCCTCATGCCTGTCTGGGCCCCCCTCCGCTGCACCCCCACGGCATGGCACCCCCACTGCACCCCCTTGGGGCTCCCCCAGCTGCTCACCTGGCAGTGTCTTCACTCGGCACACATAGGGGGCGCTCTCCTTGGACCAGGTTGGAACCAAAATCACAATGCTCCCAGAAAATTCCGAATCAGGGGTCAGGCCAGAGAACTCATATTGTCGCTGCTTGCCTCCAAGATGCTGAATTGGACAGAGGGTCAAAGTGATGGTCTTCCAGGCCAGCCTCGGGGGAGCCCAAGCCAGCCCTCGATCCTCCTCCTGAGTTGCTGCCCTTAGGAAAAGGGTCTCTTTGGCTGCCCAGACTAGAGGCAGGGATCAGCCACAACACTTCATTCCGTTTTCTGACCTCCATTATTCACTGATGCCCTCAGCCTCCACGCTGTCCGGACCTCTGATTTAGAACTGCACTTTGTAAGCAGCCCAGAGATGCTACCACCGTGGCAGCCTCCACAGTCCTGCCCTGGCCACCCTCCCCCCCTTCCAGTCTTTCTCCTCTTTCTCCTCATCAAACATCAGAAGTCCTTTGAAGCAGGGACCCGTCTGTAATCCTGGCTACTTAGGAGGCTGAGGAAGGAGAATCACAGTTTATAGGTAATGTAATGAGAACTCAACTCAAAAAGCAAACGGGCTGAGGTGTAGTTGAGTGAAAAGGCCTTGGGCTCAGTCCCTAGTACTGGAAAAAAAGAAAAGCAAAAGCAAAAGCAAAAAGTAAAGCCGTTTGAACGCCCATCCCTCTCCTCCCTTCCTCTTGGCCTCCGCCCTAACCGGGCCCCAGCTTGGACTCTTGCTGTGGCCTCCATACTGGTCATTTGTCTCTGGCTTGGCTCCTGCCCACTTTCACGTTCATTTTGGTACTACTGTGACCTTTATAGAAAATGAGTAGACTTGGCACGTTTCTCTATTCCAGATCCTTGGAGGGCCTGGCCTGTGTTTAAGGGACACAACCCTGGCCCCAGGCTCCTTGCCACAGCCGGCCTGGCTCCGCAGCCTGGACATGCGGCACCCATCCCTCTGGCCACCTGTCTTGCTGCAGGAAGACCCGGCTCCTTAGTCTCCGATGCGGCCTCTGCTGCCCTGGCTCGTCCTCCTGTGAGCCTCTGACCTCTTCCACCTCCAACTCCTCTCCTCTCTGCCTCGCCCCGCTCCTGCCCCTCTCATGCCTCTTCCCTGGCTCCTCCTTTGAGCAATGCTCTCCGAGATCGTTCTTCATATATTCTTTCTTCATCTCTTGTATTCCGTGGCCACTGAGTGATGCCACCAGATTGCACGGCTTCTATGATCACCAGTGTGGGGATAACTCCCACGATGTCCCAGGAAGGTCTGGAGTTTCTGATGGGCACTGCCAGCTCCCTGTGCAGTATCGCTGTGCGGGCACCTCCTGCTCAACATGTCCGACATGCAGCCATCCTGGATGGGAGCTGCCCCTGCCACACCCACACCTGGTGCAGATTTTCTTATTCTGTTAGTAGCATCATTCTTTTTCTATCTGCCCAAAGCTCAAGAGTAAAAAACCTTTGACAAACGCCCTCTCCTATCTCCTCTATTTATCTGCCTTACATGATCCACACATCTTCCTTCAAAGGACCGGAACCTAGATTCCTGAAAGTGCACGGACCAAGTAAAGATACACAGATTGAAGATAAATGGATGTAAAAAGAAATAGTATGTAAAGTATAAAAAGGCTGGAGTGACTAAATGGGTATCAGATAAAGCAGATTTTAATGCAAAGAGTTTAACTAGATGTAAAAAAAAAATACTTCACGTGAATAAGTGACCAGTTTACCAGGACGCAACCATAAGCACATATGTCTAAGAGTTTCAAAACAGGTGAAAGAAAAATGCACAGAATTAAAGAGGAAACTGGGAAAATCCACCTCCTAGCTGGAAATTTTAATACTTGCAGCAGCTCAGCGAACGATAGATCCCTCCCAGAGTCAGGAGAGAAACAAGCTCCTCATGACCCTAATAATCACCTTTCCCTAACTGATATTGATAGAGCAGTCCACCAGACAACCGCAGACACACACTGTTTTCAGGAACATGTGGAACGTTCCCCAAGACAGGCCACATGCTGGCCGTAAAACAAATCTTAATAAACTAAAGGGCTGATATCAGACAGAGCGCGTTCTCTGACCACAAATTGAGTTAAATTAGACATCAGTAATAATAAAAATCTTTAGTTAAACTCCAAATACCTACCCAAAACAGCACTGATCAGGACTCTGCTACTCAATAACCTCTAATTGCTCTCCTCATCTTCTGAAATAAATAAACCTCCTCTCCCCACCGCCCTCAGCTCTTCAGGGTGGACCGAGCAGGTCTGCTCAAGCCTCTCTCCCAGGGCGCCTCTGCCTTGGTTCTCAGATTTCAAGGGGAGGAAGAAGCCCTGGGCATTCCTGAAATTCAGACTCCATGTGTGAACCTGCAGTCATTTTATTGGGTTGAGTAGGCAGGGTTCAAAGATCTGCGTGTTAGTGCTAGAAGAGAGTCTGATGCCAGTTACGTGGGATCCTGTTTGAGAAACTGCTTTACTGTCTCTCTGATTCAGCCAAATAGGGGTAGTTGTTTTGTTATTGTTTTTCGTCTTGGTACTGGGACCCAAACTCACAACCTCACACTTGCCAGGTGCTGCTGAGCTGATCCCCAGCCCTGGGGTGGTTTTGTCTTCTCCAAAAGCCCTAAGTGTTCCTGCTTCTCTGTCTGATCATGATGGGGACAGGATAGGCAGGGTGCGTGTGTGTGTGGGGGGAATCAGGCTTGGAACAGAACTGAATTTGGATCCTATCTAGTTACTCTTTGCTGAACAATCTTGCCCAAGTGTCTTAATCCTCTCTGAAACCCTGTTTTCCATTTGGAAAATGAAGATAGTAACTCTTGCTTCGCAGGGCTGTGCTATAGATGAAATGATACATCACATCCCTGTAGATATTACCTGGCAAAACTCAGAAACTGGTGTGGGCACCTGAGAGTTTTCTAGAAGCCTTAGAGCTTACTGAACTGACACCCTGGCCCATCTGGCAGTATCCTGACTTTCCTCTACTTGTAGCTGTTTGCAATCTTTGTTTCAACTTCCTCTGTACTCACTAGGTTACAGTATAAGCTCCTTGAGAGCAAGATTAAGAGTCAGAAAAAAGAAGAGTCAGAAATAAAAAATTCATTTAACCTCATGCAAATTCCTGGCATATGTTAGGGGAAATACACCATGTATTTCCTGAAAATAAAATCATATGCTTATCACCCGACGATTTGTGCTTTATTTCCACTTTTCCTTTGATTGCTCTTAAGACACTCCCTGTGTAGAGTCCTGCAAACAGGACCAGCACACAGGGTGGCAGCAGCGGCGGCATCTCTAGCATTTTCTAAAGAGAATATCTGAGGATGCTACTGGAGGTTGTTTTCTACAATTTTAGTGTTTTCTACAATTGAGAAGGCAGGCATAAAAATCTGCATTATGAAAAAAATGTTTTTCTGCTCAAATAACCTGAGAACAATGATTAAGCAAACCCAGATTTAGAGTCCTGCCCCGGAAGGACTGGTCAGAGCCGTCAGCGTGCTATCATGCCCTGGTGTGTGAACCCACGGAGCGAGGGTGAGGTTTGTGATGTTTGCAAAGCTTTGGGACATGCTGGTCTATATATCACCTTACCTTTCTTAAAGCAACACAGATCTAATTGGGAGATATGGGGTTCCCCAGACAAGGAAAGACCAGGGTGCAACACACATTTACCATTTGGTAGGTGTCGTTAATTTGGAGCTCCAAGCTGTAGAAGAGGTCATGGAAGATCTCCTCCAGGGTCAGCTGGTGGCCATCTCCAGTGTGCACTGGGGTGAGGCTAGGATGGACAATCATCTGAATGGACCTCATTTTGGGGATACAAGTCACATCCGGTGGTTTGATGGTAGCTGAAAAATGGGAGAGACAAAAGAGAAGAATCAGAGTTTTCTGGCAGGGTCTGAGGCTGTCTGGACGATGAGACTGCTACACCTCCTCTCCTGTCCAAGCCTAGAATGATCTGAAGGCTTCAGCTGAACTAAAGAGCAAAGCCCTGCATATGGCTGGTGTCTGAGTGGAAGGCGGTCGTGGGGTCACCCCCTCACATCCCTGGCTCTGCCCCCATCCGTCCTAACCCCTGTGTCCCACCTTAAGCTTGCCTGGAACACGCCCCGCCCCCAGCAGCGACAGCTTTGGGGCGTCACTGACTGATGGCTCAACTTCACATCCTAAATCACATGTGGGGGGCGGGGCTCAGCTCCAAGGGCAGGCACTGCACTTGACCCTCTTTGAGGATGCAATTTTCCAAGTTAACAGACTAACCATCACTGGTTTAGAGTCCCCTTTAATGAATGCCATTGGATCTTCTTGCCTCCAAAATATAAAAATCTCACATCCAATTCCAGGGGTCTTACGAACCCCATTCATCCTGAACGTAATTTATGAAAGTCCCTTGGGGAAATCCATTGACTCCCAAGATTTAAAACAGCTGGGCAGAAGAATGCACACTTTGGTGTTGTTTATAAAGCTGAGAAATGGAGCTAAATGTCCTCAAAAGGCCAACCAGGTAAATAAGTTATAGCACCTCCAAAGAATGAGTCATCTTGCTGTGACACAGCGTCTTGCGGGTAAAGAGCTAATGACATGAGCAATTCTATGCTACCATCATATAAGGAAAAATCACAAAACCAGGAAGACAACACGAGATGACAGAAAGCAAATAAAGATGACAGTAACTATGGCTCTGAATGCTCACGTCACTTGGGGTGACGTTGTTTTGGTTTTTTTTTTTTAAGTTTATCTATGTTTTAGTTTATCTCAGTTTCAAGGGCAGGCACTGCACTTGAGCCTCTTTGAGGATGCAATTTTCCAAGTTAACAGAAACAGAAAGCAAATTTCCCATCTTTAACATGAATTAATTAAATAAGCCCCCCCAAAAGCCCAGGGAACTTAAGTTTTATTTATTTAAAATTCACATGTGGTTGTAAAGTCAGGTGGTGAGCATCACCTACTAATTGTGCGTGCATCACAAGGACAATGGACAGGGTACAGTGGTCCCTCCCCATCCCTGGACACAGTGCCCCATGCAGAGTTGTGACACTGTATTTCCATTATTTAGAATAACCAGGAGGAGAAAAGTGTGTATGTGTTCAGTACAGAGCCAACTGTGTTCCAGATATTTTTCTCCCACTGTTTGAGTCTGTGGGTGCAGATCCATGGGTACTGGGGACCCAAGGCATCGGGACCTCCAGTAGTGACAGGTAGGAGCTGCTGGCATGGGCCAGTCAGGGATGCAGTGGGGACACTTTCTAAGGCGTCCTCAAGGAGCCGAGCCCTAAGGACTGCGAAGAAGCCTACTGTGTGAGAAGCCATGAGGCAGGAACCACAGTGGGCAGACTCAGGGCCTTGGCGCCCGCAAGGAGCAGCAACTTATGTTAAGAGTCATGAGAAAGTGCTGGAAGGTTGTGAGCGGGGAAAGAGGAGGTGGGATTTCGGCATTGCGCAGGTCGCTGGGAAGGCTCTGAGGCGGGGCAGAGGCGGAGGAGGAAAGGGTGGGGGCACAGTAGCCAGAGGACAGCGGCCAGAACCGTGAGCCTGGGATGGATGTGGACAGCAGGAAAAGCCCGCTGCGGATGGCCGTCCCTGAAAGCCACATCCCCAGCACGCCCGGGTGCAGAGCTCTTCTGGACCCTCAGTCCCCTCCAGGAGTCAGAGGCCGGTGGTCCCCTCCCTCCAGACACACGGGGCTCCTACTTACTGTGTCGCAGTGGGTTGAATCGTTCGGTCACCTTGGTGGACGGCAGGCCTTCTGCACTGATGGCTGTGACCCGGGCATAGTAGAACTCGTTGAGGTCACCTGTCTCCATGGTCAGGTTGCAGGATTTCCGGGTGATCTCCTGGCAGCCCTCCTTGGCTAGCCATTGTGTCTCTCCATACCTGGGGGCCAGGGAGTGGCCAGCGCACCTGAGTGAATGGCCCCTGCTAGGCCTGTGGTTTATTAGTGATGATAACAATGTCTAATATTTACTTAGCACCTTCTGTGGGGGCCTTTTATGTGCATGATCTCAGTCGGTCCTCACAATGACCCCTCAGGTGTGTACATTATCTTCCTGTTTTTCAAATAAGGAAGCTGAGGCCCAAAGGAATAAAATGAGCCCACGCTTTTGAAATGTACATGTGATGAGCTGGATTTGAATCCAGCCAGTCTGAGTCTACATAATGGGTTCACCAGCACCATAAGGCTTTAAGGCAAACCCTCTTCTCCCCATTTCATAGATGGAGAAATTGAGGCTCGGAGAAAGTAAGAGACTTGCCATGGGACAAAGAGGCAGGAGCAGGAATGAGACCTCAGATTTGCAGATTCTGGGGCTTCTGTTTATTCTCCTCCCTGGTCACAGGGGAAGAGAGAAGAGCTGGATGGGGGCGCAGGTTGGGGTCATGGGCACAGTTTGTGTTACCTCTTACCACCAATAATAACAAGACAAGGGTTGGTAGTTTCTTATTTGTCAGGCACAACCACTCATGACATTTCATTTCATCCACCTGACACCCGCAAGGAATACGCTGTCATTTCCCCCAGGCCCCAGGCAGAGTTTGTACACCAAGCTACCCTTTTACCTTCCCTCTGCAGCAGAGCCCTGCTGGTGCAGGGACTCAGGGGCGGGGCTGTCCCGCTGGGGTTGGCTGCAGGGCAGTGTCTGAGGGGTCAGCTGGGGCGGGAGACCTACTTCTTATAGTCCACGCTGTAGACTGTGCCTGGGATGCTCTCCAGCCCGCTGTCCCACGACAGGATGTTTTCAAAGTTGCTGGACTGGAATTTGGGGTGCTGAAGAAGCCCAGAGGAGTCCTCCGCAATGTGGGCTGCGGGAGAGTGGGGAGAGGGTGAGCGGTGGGCTCGAGGATCCTGACCCCAGCATCCAAAGACAGCTGCCACTGTCACTAGCCCTGATTCAGGAACACGTGCATCGCCCTCCAAAGAAACTGCAGTGAACCCCCGTTCTCCCCGACCCAATTCCTCGCACGAGGCCCTGCATCCAGCCCCTAGATCAACAAATAAAACAATGTTAAAACGCGTCTACATCCGTCTGTCACCGCCAGTCCTCTGCTCAGCCTACTGCCGCCCAGGACTAGGGGGTGGAGGACCCGCACTGTCAGTGAGGAGCCTTCGACTGAGACACCCCTGGAACTCCATGCTGGATGTGGGAGAAGTGGGCAGGTGGGTGGAGGCTGGGGTTGGTGCGCATGCTTAGGCTGGAGCTCTGAGCATGCGCAGGGCGGCCTGGGAAGTAAACAGGTGCAGATGCAGTGAAGTCAAGGCCTCGAGGTCTGTGTGCACCTCTGCTGTGTTTCTGCTGGACTCCTGCGTGACCATGAGGAGCCCCAGGAAAGGTTGCTTGCTGAGGCCAGGGGGTGAGGGACTGGGCAGTTAATGATTGCCTCCCCCCAAGGCTGCAGACAATGCCTGCAAGAGGACCCCAGGGAGGCCGAAGGACAGCCACAGTCTGGGGCCACCATGACTCTCTGGCTAGTGGGAAGCTCCCTCCTCTCTGAATCTGGGACTGTGTGACCCAGCTGTGGAAACCTTTACCTTCTAGGCTCCCAGAGCCCCGGGATGGGGTCTTGGGATGTCACCATATACACCTGGGGTGATGGCTGTGCTGTTGTGCCCCACGACGTGCCTGACTTTCTATTTGGGTCCCAATCTGGGAAGAACTAGCAGCAGTGCTGGAGGGAGGAGACCTGGAATTCGGGGCTGGGTCTAGAACTGAGTGAGAGGGCTGGGGATTCAGCTCAGTGGCGTAAGCACCTGCCTTGCAAGAAGGCTAAGTTCGATCCCTGGTACTGATAAAAAAGAAAAGGACAAAAAAAAAAAAAAAAAAAAATAGAACTGAGTGAGTGCATCGGGAACAGACTGGAGAAAGGCCGGTGCGGGGAGCTCAAGGGCAGGAGGGTGGTGGTTGGTAGGCATGGAGACGGTAGGAAAGGCTGCTGATGGGTCTGTGTTCTGGGCAGGCTATCTGGGCTCAGAGAGGCTGGTGACTGAAGCTTGGGGCCACTGGCAAAGGGTTGTGGGGAGTGCAGTTGGTATTATTCAGGAAGGGATGGAAATTGGCTTCCAGATGCAGGGTGGGCAGACCTTGGCTGGTTTGTCTTTTAGAGGATAGCAGAAGCTAACAAGGCCCCCAGTCCCTCCCGCCCCACTCGCTCCTTTCCCTCCCCAAATCCATACTGCCTGTGTCATTTCTGTACTTCCTGGTTGAAAGTCTACATTGTGAAACCTGGGAGATGTATGTTGTGTGGAGCCTGGCCGTCTGGCAGACTTTATAAAAGGCAGGTTTTCACATTTGTGTGGAAAAATAATCTATCAATTGGTGGGGAAGCTAAGGGAAAACATAGCAACAATCCAGCGTAGCCCGGGCTCAGCCAGACTGAGGGGTGAGGGACTGTGATTGCAGAGGGTGCAGCTGGCAGTGAACAACCTCCTTGGGGTGGCTTCCTGGGAGCCGAACCTAAACAGCCTGGAGCGTGAGGGCTTCGGCTAGAGAGACGTGCTCTGAGCCTCCAGGGCTGTAGTGAATCCCCAGCACCCTGGGCCCAGAGTGTGGGGTTGTGCAGCTAATGTCAGGGAAGGGCAGCCTACCAACAGATAGGGTCCTTTCAACACTGGCCAGGGACAGCATGGACGGGGCAGCTCCTATCCCTTCATGGGCTTTATTCTGTGTTGGACAAAAGGCCATGTCTCCCCCTGTTCCAGTGGTGCTGTGCTCTGGCTTCCTCAGAGAGCATCCTGGGTTCCATGACAGGAGAACGGAGCAGGGGTTTCATGTCTAGTCTCCCCTGTGATAAATCCAAAAGTCCACGTTGCTGGGTTTGACAAGGATGCCCAGTGCTCCTGTTTGCAAGAGAACCCTGGTGCCTTAAAACCCTTGAGGGCAGCCCACTGGACCACTCTGGGAAGAAAGGCTCTTCCAATCTAGCCAGAGGAACTGGAGGAGAGATGCAGAAGCTCCCACCAGCCCATCCCTCCTCCCTACCCCTCAGAAACAGAGAGATGGTAACCCATGGTCAGGTGATGAGAGGGGTCCAAGGATATCTGACTCCACCTGGTCAATCCTCCAGCTGCTGGGGTGTGGGGATCCAGTACCCCAGTTCTGACAGCTGGCTACGTGTCCTCTAACCCCAGGACCATTTGAGTCCCTGGAAGAAGCTGGAGTTGGACAGTACCCACCCTTTAGCTTTCCCGGATCCCTAAGCTGGCCACCTGCTCCCCAGGAAGCCTGGCACCTGGCTCAGCTTGAGCAGGGAAGAAAAAGAAACTGGTCATGATGAGCTAGCTGCGCAAGGCTCATCATGGTGACAACCCTGATCTTGGCTCCTGGGGTGAGGAGGATCTGACCACAGGATGGGGACACTCACCAGCCAGGGATCCGACAGCTAGGATGGTCAGTAGCGTCTTCATTGGCTCAGCCTGAGGCCTTCTGGGCCTCCACTCGGGCCCTGCACAGAAGGCAGGCTGCGAAACCTTGCCGCCTTGGCATTGGCTCCTCCCGGCACAAGGCGGGGAAAGGAGGGGAGGGCAGGGCTGGGCGGTGGGGGCAGGGTGCAAAGGTGCCTGGCCCTGTGCTCTGGAATTCCACGTCCTGGGTGGGATCCAAGGGAGTTCCCTCACTGGCTGCAGAGAAAAGCAAGTGTCAGGCTGGCTTGTTTATCTGGTCTGGTGGCTGATTCATCCCAAGACTCTTCAGCGGTTTATCAGGGAGATGAGAGGCACAAAAGGCAAAGACTCCATGATATATGGGCTTATCAGAGAGCAGTTGGCGCTGTGTCAAAGCTTGCACTATGTGCCTGAATTTGGTCCCAATAATTCCATTCCCAGGGGGATTTACCCTGAAGAAATAACGGGACAGGGAGGAAGAACGAAGTTGACTCAGAATGTTCCCTGCAGCAGAGCTTTGACCATCAAAGCTTTGGCTTTGTTGGAGTGATTGAAGATCCAGGGTGCCTGGTGCCCATGTGTGGACCCCCGGCTGGACATTGTGCTTGGGAACAGCCTCCTGTGGGGGAGCCTGCTGGGGTGGCATCCAGGAACTCTTCTTTTGAATTTTCAGGCTTGAGATCAGCAAAAGGTTAGAAAAAAACCCACCACCTCAGACTTCACAGATTCCTTCTGCTATGCTTGGGAGAGGGGCAAAATTCAGGGCAGCGCATTAGGCTTGGGACCATGAAGAAGGGTACCGCTCCCCAGCATCATTCTGCCGTGAAGAAGTATCCTCAGAGATGACCCAGCTCCCTGATAAGGAAGGGGGGGTGGGTTTTTGGGAAGTAGTTTCTACTTGTTGGTGAGCTACAGAAATGGTTGAAGGGACCTAGACTCAAGCTGGGGGGACTCAATCAAAGAACCCAGCCCCCGGGGTGAGTTTGGCTGGCCCAGCAGCATAAAGCAGGGAACAGAGTGGCCCCTGCAGGATCCTGGGCAAGTTTGGTCACTGCTGTTTTGCTGGACTAGGGAAGAACCCAGGACCTTGTGCATGCTAGACAAGCTACACCCCCAGCACTGGGGTTGGCTTTTTTGGATGTAATAGGCTGTAATATCCAAGGTTCTATGATTTAGTTTTCTTCTTCTGCATTGTAGGTGTTTGTTACCAGCTCTAAGTCTTTACTAAAATTTATTTGAACAGACAGCCAGATCTAAGCTGTGCTCTAGAGTAAGTAAGGGCCATCAGTCTTTTACTATTATCCTGGGAAATAACATTTCCTAGATGCCTTTGCTAGCAGCTCCCTACTAGGGCGGACCCCTGGCAGGGTGGAGGGTGGAGGAGGTCAGGGGATTCTCTGCCGTAGGCACATCTCCTGCAATGGCTGGGTTTCTGGGGCTCTAGCTCCTGCTGGACAGGCCTTCCAGCCAAGCTGCTTCCTGATCCCACCAAGTGGCCATTCCTGAGCTCAGGTACCACCTACTCCTCTATCTTTCCACTTAGCTAGAAGGCTGAAGCTGCTTCCTGCTGTGGTGAATCTCTGGCTGCTTCCTGGTCTTGATTGAACCCCAACTCTCCCATCATCTACTTACATGTGTTAAAGCCCCGTGGTTGGAAAGACTCAAGCTTCGAATATAGGGTGTTTGATGACTTTAGGTGGGTACAGCGGCACAGGGAGACTATGACCAGCAGAACAAGTTACAAAATGCCACCAGGAGACTCCACAGGGAGAGGAGGCAGCTCTGGACCAAGGTGGTGGCCTGAAGGACAAGCTGCCCCCCATCTAACCTGCATGGAGGAATTTGATGGGAGGCTGAGATGCCTATGGTCATGAGGGTCTGTAGTAGTATAGGGATAAAGGAAAGAAAGGAAGGAATTAAGGAAAGGAAGCATCTGCATTATTAAAGAATCTGGAAGCACACAAATTCATTGGTAATGTTAAATTCTTTTTTTTCTTAAGAGAAAGAATAACCTCCACGTCCAACAGTAGGGGTTTGGTTACATGAATAATAGTCTGTCCACTCAAAGCAAGACAAAGCAGGGATCGGCTGCCTTGGGGCAGAAAGCTCTTGACTGGTAAAGGTGTTCAGGGTGAGGATGTGGACCATGGTGGCGGGTCCCTAGATACCTTGCTCTTGTCTCTAGACAAGATGGTTCTTGTCTCCCCCAGGAGGGGGAAGGTGTCCTCATATTTCCCTCCATGTGGCTAACTACGGACCAGGGATCCAACACAGACTTAGAAGTCGGACGTGGGAGACGGCAGGTTTGGCCTGCTGGTTCCGGCTCAGGCTGCTGGGGGAATCACATTTCTCCAACCCTTCTCTGCATCATTTTACCTGTGAGCCTTTGAATGAGCTGTTCCTGCTTCTTAGATCACCCCTCCACTCCCTTTTCCTAACTCTTATTTATCCTTCAAATTCCTCCTCCAAATTACTTCCTCCAGGAAGTCTTCCGTGTGTGAGCTGCTTACTGCTTGGTAACTCATTTCTCTGTCCTAATGTGTGTTTAACTATATTTTCTGCTCCCCCACTGTGGCCGCTGCTGGGCACAAGAATGTAACGTGCTTACCTTGTGCAGTGGATTGGTAACTGGTGGTGAGTTTAAACCCCAGCTGAACTAAGTCAGTGTGGTACTGAGTGCGAATGGCCCACCTGGGGACTCTTGCCAGCATAAAAATGTGACCTGGAGAGGAAGAGTAGCATTGTGGGTTCTCCTAAGTGGTGCTGTTGTTTGGAGCCATTGGTTCCCCTGGAGGAGCTTGTCACCCTGGCTTCCTGATATGTACTCGGCTGTTATCATCAGAGGAGCTTGGAATCTTGCTGTTGTTGAGGATGGCTGTGGTACTTTTCAGGAGAACCCTGGTCCTTATTTTGAGTGTCACTTCCTGGCTGCAGTGCAGAACCCTCAGCATGCTGGCACAGCTCCTTCACCCCACTGGCATAGACTTTTTAGCTTCCACTGCTAACCTTTGGGCCTTCCCAGTGCAGATCTGTGAAATAAATTTGCCTGCCTTGGTGAAGAAGCGTGATGCTAAGGAGATGCTTGGGATCATTGTCGTGGGCTCTCGGTTTTCAGCTGAACTCATGCAGGTTATTGCCATGGGATCCAGGTCCTTGACTGGTTTTTTGAGGTCTCTTTGTTGTGAACAGTGTTCCTGCACTTTGTATTTGATTCCTTGGGTGGCCATTATAAATAATACTATAAACTATGTGTCCTGTATGTAATTGTTCTCCTTGCAACCCATGACTACAACACCTTGGTACTGTAGTGTCTGGTCTAAGTGGTACAGAACAGGTACTTGGTGATGTTTGCTGATTGACTGAATGTTCTGGCTAGGACTTTACTTATTTCTATATATTTTATTAGTAGATGTGTGTAGCATATAATGTTTACGTGCCTTCTGTTGTTAGTACATGTACAAACTATATCTTAATCCTTGTTTTTCATCCCCTTGCTGTGCTCACCCTCCCTTTTACCTCCTCTTTTGATCCCATTCCCATTTGAGAGCTACTTTCCTACATCCTATTTTCTATCTTTTATTTTGCTTTTATTTATCCTTTGGGTTTCTCATATCAGAGAAACCATGTAATATTTAAGTTTGCTTGTCTGATTTATTTCACATGACATTATGGTCTCAAGGGGCATCTATTTTCCTGCAAATGACTCAAGTGTACCTTTCTTTATGGCACAGTACTACTCCACTGAGTATAAATGCCACATTTTCTTTTTTCTGGTACCGGGGATCAAACTCATGACCTCGCACTTGCCAGCCAGGCGCTTGTGCCACTGAGCTAAATCCCCGGCCCCCTGCCACATTTTCTTTACATTCATCTGTCGATGCACATATAGGCTGCTTCCAACATTTAGCCATTGTGAACTGCACGGCTGTAAACTTAAGTGTGCATGTAGCGCTGTAAAAGAGCTATTTAACTCTAGGAGGGGAATGGCTGAGTAAATGGAATTTCTATTTTTAGCTCTGAAAATCTCCACCCTGAAATCCATAGTGGTTTTATTAGTTAACATTCCCACCAGCAATGTGGAAGGGTTCCTTTTTCCCTGCAGCCTTGCCAGCATTTGCTATTATTTGGTTTCTTAATCATGGCCGTCCTTTCTGGGGTAATTTGTTTTAATTTGCATTCTCTAGTGGCCAATAATGTGGGGCATTTCCTTATGTATTTATTGGCCATTTATGTTTCCTCTGTCAAATGTCTATTCATTTAACTTGCCCATTTTTTTCTCCTGGATTTCTTTTTGGGAGAGTGTCTAATTTTTCTTGACTTCTTTATGTTTCTAGATGTTAGTCTGCTGTCTGAGGTAAAACTGGCAACATTTTCTTCCCATTCTGTAGATTGTCTTTTCACTCTTGGTTGCTTCTTTCATTGTGCGGGAGGTTTTTAACTTGATAGATCCCATCCATTGATCCCGTACTATTTCCTGTGCAGCTCACGTTCTATTAAACCCCTCTTCTATCCCTACTAGGACTTTAATACTGTATGAAACTTCAGCTCCAAGCTATAGCAAAGCACGTACTAACGTGACAAATACTCAGGAATGTGACCCTTCTCTTAATCGCTGGGGAAACTAAAACCTTTTCTGCAGAAATGAGAACCTCAAAACTCAGTGAGGGGCTTACTAGATGTCTTTGGCAGAGTGGACAGCGCTGTCTATGTGGTTGGCGGGAGAGAGAGAGGGAGAAGGAAGGGGAGGTGGAGGAAGAGAAAGAGAGAGAAGGATCTCTAAGCTTGCAGAATCCTCAGACATTTCTGACAGGAGGAGCAAGGATCAAAGCTTGGCCACCTTTCTCCTCCAGACTCTTCTAGCAGAGTCAGTCGCCCGAGGTCATCTGACCATGTGGCCTGGGCTACGTCAATCAGGGATATTGGCATAGACCTCCCACGAGCCTGGGCCTGGCCCCTGCCTGTGACTCCTGGACCCATGATAGGTCTTATCCCCCTGCTAGGCCTCACTCAGTTTTTCTGTTTGTAATGGAGTCTTGTTCTACAGGATTCGAGGACCTTGGAGTTTGAAGGGCCTCTGCTCTGATGCATTTTGGGTTTGGGAGACCTCCCCAACACCCCAGAATTCCCTTCCAGACTATTGTCAATCACACAAGCACATGGTTGCCTTCCTGTTTATTGACGCCGAGTTCAGCTGATTGCAGTTTGGGGTTCCAGCAGCTCCTTAGCATCACGCTTCTTCACCAAGGCGTCCTTGTGGCCCCATTGGCCTCTGCGGCCAGGGGAGGTGGGCAGGGCGTGAGCTTTGGGCACACGGAAGTAGCTGCAGTCCCAGCTCTGCCACTTCCCTGCTAGGTGCAGATGGCTCTGCCCCGCATCGTTGGCTTTCTCGCCTACAACTCGGGAAGAAGGGTCTCTGCTCGCCAGCCTTCTCATGCTGCTGTCTCTGGAGTTTCTGAGGCGGGGTCTCACGCAGCAGCTGCCCTTTCTTTCCGAGTGGGGATCGGAGGAGTTGGTGAGGTCCCTTGAGGGACTCTGCAGGAAGCTGAGTGTGCAAGTGTCAGGTAGAGAGAGGCAGCGAGCTGGGCAGTGACACGTGTTCCTTTAGAAGTTCAGATTAGCAGTCATTTCAGAGGCCGAATTGCAGAGAGGATAGAGGCAGCGCTGACATCCTGCAGACCAGGATCTGGGCTCAGCCACCTTCCACCCTCAGACTCTTCTTAGAGAGTCAGCTCTTCTTAGAGCTACTTAGGTGTGTGTGTGTGACTGGGGGTCAAGGACCTGAGGATGGCAAATGGAGGGGCACTCTCCTGTTGGACTCTGGCTTTCCAGTTGGCCCACTTAGTGTCCTGAGAAACTGAGGCTTAGAGCAGGTGGGAGAGCCTCGTCTTGGAGGCATCAAGATCTAGAGAGGCCTCTACCACTGCTGGCAGTTTGAGGCCCACCTTCTAATTCACATGAAGGGACACAAAGGAAGAACAGGGATCCTGCCAATTTAGGCAAAGCTCTCACACCTCCGTGTCCTCTACTGACACATGCCAAGGGGTGGGGCTCCTTGGGCTGGGCTGGGTTCTGGCACCGACCAGAAATTTAATTTTTAAATAACTGACTCATGGGACTGACTCATTCATTTAAATATAGATAGAACCTTTGTCTATTTTTCTAAAAAAAAAAAAAAAGAAAAGAAAAGTCCTTTGTACACACAGGAACCAGCTCAAGAAGGACACGGGCAGCAGCCACGGATCAAGTCCTGCCGTGCGTGGCCACTCACCAGTCAAGGAACAGTAAGCTGCAAACGGGGTCCAGTTTGTCTCCCTCTCTGTGCAGATGCTGGGGGAGGAGGGACGGTTGCCCAGGTGTGACCTGAATGGACCTGGCGTGGTGACTTCTGATGCAAGATAACCAGCCTCCCTACATGGAAGTCAGCCGTTGCCAGCCGCCTCCGGGCTCTGATCAGATCAGTTCACTCTCTTATTTCATTCATGTATTCAATGACAATTCTCGGCTTCAGAGGTTCAAAAACAGTTCCTTAGCTAAAGGAAATCTCAGGATGTAATGTTCTGCCTTCCCCAGCTCTCCTGAGCTCTCTGGTTAGAAGGCTCCAGCAGCACTGCCATCCCACTTGGGTCCAGGAGGTGGCAGCACACGAGTTGAGAGCCTCTCAAGAGGTTGGGTGGGAGGTGGTGGGGATGAACTGGACAGGAAGTGCTGGTGGGTTTTCCAGAAAGAACCTACTACACATCGGGCCACGGGGGCAGATAGCTGAGCCTGGCCCCCACTGTGGTATTCACTGTCTCTGTCCTGGTGAACTGGCGATCAGTTGAGTAACACAAAGCACTGGTTTAAAGCTGCCAGACCCCAGGAAGGGACGGGGACCAGGAGTCTGTCATTCTTGCAACTTGCGTGGTGACCCATTCTTGTCTCCTCTGCAGACTGGGCCACCCGGTCCCTCTGAGTGTGAAGTAGGGTCACAGCAGTAAGAAGGGGCTACTCCAGGCCCAGCCAGCCAGGAAGGCTTCTGGATCCGGGAGAGAAACTCGTCAGATCTGCTCAGCTTGGCTCTAGCACCTACAACTTACCATGGCAGTGGCAAACGGTAACCACCTTAGTACAGTGCTGGACATCACAATGAGACTCAGAATGTCATGTGAGGAAGGGGATCTTCTCCAGGAGAGAGCTGGTGGAGAGAGTTCAGCTTGGCAAGGCCAGACACCCTGAGGCTGTTCTGCACCCTTCTGCGGACCTGGTTGCCAGGAGATGAGCTTCACCAGGGTGGTGAGCAAGACTGGGTCTCACCGTGGCTGTGACACTGGAGACCTTCCGTGGCTCTGTGGCACTCACCTGCCTCCTGTACTCAGCCTGATGCATTCAGGCTACGGGAACTTACGACACTGCCTGGTACTCTGCACAGTACCGGTGCCAACCGGCAGATGAGGAACAAATCTGAACTGGGCCTGACAGACACTGACTTCCACCGCTGCAGGGGCCTATTCCATTACAGACCTTGAACAGCTACCTTCCCCCTGCTGCCTGGCTCCCCTAGTCCCCCAGTGTCACTGGGACCATGGACTGCACTAGCCCCAAAACGTTACCTCTAAGTTTACTTCTGGAAACCCAACCCCAGGCCCCTGTAATTTCTTCTTCTTTTCTTTCTTTCTTTCTTTCTTTCTTTTTCTTTTCTCTCTCTCTCTCTCTCTCTCTCTCTCTCTCTCTCTCTTTCTTTCTTTCTCTTCTGAGACAGGATCTTGCTGTACTCCAGGCTGGCTTCAACCTTGAAGAAATCCTTCTGCCTCAGCCTCCTGAGTGCTAATTACAGATGTGCACCACTGTGCCGGTCACCCCTGTAATCATTAACAGTTGAGTTGTGAGAAAAGATCAAAGCATACATGTTTCCATTCAAGTCTATCTTTTCTGTAAAAATAGAGCTCTTTATTTAAAAGTTTAGGGTAACAGACCCTCAAACATTAGAGTATTATTTAAATATGATGTAAACATAGAACAGAATTAGACATAAGTACAAACGTGTAAGAACAATACAATCTTGTCCCCAAGCAAAGAACCACACTGCACTTTAACCTAGGGCACCAATCACCTTTCTCCTGATGTCCTTGAGTGTGGCCCTGCCCACACCACTGTCCCCAGCAGTGTGTGCCCAACAGGGCTTTGTAAACAGGTGCATGCTGGCTAGCACGTAGACAGATTACTATATGTCCCTTCCTCGTACTTCCCACAGTGTCTTGTAAATGACCTAACCACTGCACCGAGCTGAATTTGGAATTACTAGAAAGCTCAGGCTCTTTTAAACATGAAACTTTAGAAAAAATTCTTTTAAAAACTAACACAGTTGGAGAGTAGAAATAAAGTGCTTCATTCAAGCCTAAGACAATACTTTGGAGAAAACCTTTCCTTTTCTGAACGCTCCTCTGTGAAGCAGCTCACCCGGCCCGGAAGGCACAGTGGCCTTGGGCTGGGGCATTTTGGGAACCCAGCCTGAGCCAGAGCCCTTACCGTGTACCATCGTTTTGGTCTGCTCTCGGTTTGTGTCCAAATGACGTGGACAAAAGCAGCACAGAAAACAGCCTTGGGAAGGTGTGTGTGCGCCCCAGAGGTGGTGACAAAGGCCTCCTGCCAGCTTAGTGATCCTTGGGAATCCTGGCTGAGACCCACGCCAAGGGGTCAAGGGCCAGCTCAGCTGGGCAGAAAGATCTAAGCTCTCAGCCTGGGGACATCACCCTAAGTTGCTGGGGCAACACTGCCAGGTGGCCTTGGGCAGATGCTTTTGCCACCCTGACCTCAGCCTGTTAGTCTGAAACAAGGTAGGTGTTCATTAAAAAGCGGTACACAACTTCTCTTTGCAGCGGGCCCACCTCCAAAGCCACTGTGCACCGATCAGGCACAGTGAGGCTGCTCCAGCCGGAAGTGCAGGATCCCAAGCCCCTCACCCCACCATGGAGACCCAAGGCCGTTGGGAGCACAGCGTGAGAACCTCTGGACTGGAGGCCCTGGAGAAACCTCCCCAGCTGTGCCTGTGACTCTGCATCTCCTGCTGGCTTCAGAGCAACACAGCGCTGTGGTCAAAGGGCTGCGAAGGTCTCTTCTGCAGGATGGAGTGATGTCATCAAGAGCTAAGTGGCAGGGCCTGGGCTGCAGAGGCAAAAGCTGGGGGTACAGACAGCCAAGGGAAGAGGGCCTGGGTGCAGGGCGTCCTTGGTTGCAGTTCTGACTTCTGAGCACTGAGCACCTTGTTGAGAGCTAGGGGGAAGCCTAGAGGTGAGGTGGGCAGAAAGATGGGTGCTCCTGGTCACTTCAGGGTCAGGGTCACAGCTGGGGGATGCCCAGGGGTCTCCTTACAGCCTGAGAGGGTTCTGCCAGCCACATAGAGACAGCACCAATGCCATGGCAGGCCCCATGCCACACACATCCGAGATCTCCCTGCATCCTGACCACATCCAGGTAGTTCCTGCAGATGAGGAAACTGAGGTACGGAGAATGAGAGTGGCTTAATCAAGCCACACAACTAGCAAACAACAGAGCTAGGATTTGAATCCAGACCAAACGGCAAAGACTAGGATCTGAAGGATGACAACCTTTTCCTCCTCCATGACTCCCTCAGGCGACTTGATCTTTCTTGTTGGTGGCTCACCCTAGGGTACCTGACCGAGGCCTGGGAGAGGGGGAGCTCGGCAGGTGTTGGGAAAGGCAGCAGTATACCAGGATGTGCAGTCAGTGGGACCACACGGCCCCTTGGGTGCAGTGGCCGTAGTGACCTGGCCTCATTTGGTTCATACTGCCTAGGATGGTTTTCCACCTGGCCCGTCACCCAGGGCATCTCAAGCCTGGACGGTGGGTCCCTGGGGATAGCTGGAGCCAGCTGGAGCCAGCTCACCTGGCCATGTAATGTCCCAGAATCCCATCCCTGACCTTGGTCCTCGGAAAGCTCTCAACCTGCCAGTTGCAGCTGCTGCTGTCCTTGGGTTCCAATTCCTTCTCATCCTCTTCCTCTTCTTCCTCTTCCTCCTCTTCCTCCTCTTCTTCCTCCTCTTCCTCTTCAGGTCTGCTATCCCAGCAGAAGGTCAGTGTGTTAAGAGGAATTTGGGGCTCCCCAAGGACCAGATTCAATCCTGGGGATAAGGATCCCTGGCTGGCCCACGAGGAGAGACCACCCTTCAGGGGCTCTTCCAGGTTGCCCAAGTCCTTGGAGGATTCTGGACGTAGGAGTGACTCCTGATGGTTGTCGCCATCTGGCCCTTGGCCCAGCCCCTTCTTGGTCACATAGCTAGAAGACCCAGTGTCGTCCCAAAGCAAGCAGTCCCCAGTGCTGGTCCAGCTCCTGTCTGAGGAGTTCCTGGCAGAGGAGCCTTCGCTGTGGCCCACAGGTGTCCAGGGGCCCCCTGAGTCCACTCCGGACTCATCTGTCTCAGAGAGCCCCAGAGGCTGGAGCTCCTGTCCCCGGAAGAGGGGCTGTTCTATGTAGGGCTGGATGCTGACCCTGTCATCTGTGTCCTCCTCATCGTCATCCTCAGTACTGTCCTCCAATCCTGACGGTAGTGTGGCTGGGGCCCTGACTGGAGGGGCTGGTGTGAACCTTCTGGTCAATTTCTTTGGGGGACAGAGGACTAATTCATTTAAGGATTCTGGTCCGCTGGGCTGAAAGATTGCTACAGGGTGTCCGTGTCCTGAAAAGTCCTAATTTGGGGAAGGGAGAGAAGAGAGACAACTCAGGCTTCCTCACTGGTGGCATCTGCGGTCCATCTGAACAGATCTGAGGTATGGGTTCCAGTGTACATTACTTCTTTGGAAGGTGTCCCAGCAGCTGAGTTACAGAGTGGGCAACTCACATTGTGGTGGTGGTGTGCAGGCAAGCACATTGCCAACTGCCCCGTGATGCCACAGGGCAGCCGGACCCTGATCCTGCAGGGCACCGGGGTGCCGTTCTACACAGACACCTTGGACTGGGGGGCACTGGGGTACTTATCCATCAGCCCGCTCTGAGACATGGTGCTAGTGCCCTGCCCTGTGCATGGATCCACCCACAAAGCCCATCCGAGAACCTCCTGAGCTCCCCTGTAGCCGGGCCTGTGTGACCCTCTGACCTCGAAGGCACCTCCTGGCCCTGGCTGGCCCCCAGTTTCTGAGGAAGTAAAGCAGTGCTCAAGGCTGACTGCGGGTCTGGCTTGTCCTTGGTTATGATGGTGAACTGAGTGTCAGAGCCTCTAAAACGTCCCTTTTCGGTGCCACCCTCTCCCCATGCCCTTTGGACCCCTCTTGGGTCCCAAGGCTGCGGCTCTGCACCCGGCACCCGACACATCTTTAGCAGGCGAGACGGGACCTAACAGGGAGCCCAGGCACTTTCCCCTCCTGGACTTTGCTGTTTTAGTTTGTGTGTTACTAATGATAGCAATTCAGACAGGAGGCCAGGAGGGGGTCAGATGAGGCCACAACCGATTCTGTGGAACCGCCCCGGCTGCTGACCACACCCAGACTTGTCATACCAGGGCGCCTGGTGTCTTGGAGCCATGGAACCAGGGGTCGCTCCTCAGGTTCTTCCACATCACACCCCCTAAGGCAACTACCAGCAACAGTGGTGGGAGGGAAGGCAGCACCAGAACTGTCCAGTTGGCCCCTAGAGAGGAAAACAACGCTAAATGCAGACACAACGAGGGCACCCATCTAGCAATGTGCCAAAGGGCTCCCGGGCATCCTCCTTCTAAAAATAAGCTGTCCTACAGTCGGTGCAAACTGAGGCTCGGTGAGGCCTGTAAGCAACCCAAAGACACACACTGTGTGCGGTGGAGCCGGGGTTTTCACGGGGTGAGTCCGTCCTGCACTTCTAACGGCACATCACACGGTTCCTCAGGGGAAGTCCCCACTGCAGAGCTGCTCTGCACCCACCTGGGGCCTCCAGGGAGAGGCAGCTGGGCTCTGAGAAGCTGCTGTACTTGGGGACGATGAAGGTGTAAATGGTTCTGGCGCTGAGGCAGTGGCGTCCACGGGCAGAAGGCTGCAGCGGGATCGGGACCGGCTGGCCATGTGCAGTGGCTGGAAATAGGGTCTGTTCAGCGGGATGAAGCAGAGATGAGAAAACCTTTTGGGTCCCCGTTCGGTTCAGCCAGGAGCCAGTATTCGGTCAGCAGCTCAGGGTGGGAGAACTCCAAACCTTGTTTTGTTTTCCTAGCTTTCAAGTGTTAAGGGCACACTTCCTGACACTAGGGGTTCCTCAAGGCTGATGGCAGGGGGAGGGTGAAAGCTGCCCCCACTGAGGTCACACTGTGTGCTTCCCACAGGGACTGAGGGTCTCCACTCTGAGGAAGAGAGTCCTTAGGTCTCCAAGTCCACTGGGGGCCGGGGTCACTCAAAGGTACTGGTCCATGTCAGGCGTGCCCATGCGTGTCATCTCACAAGTCTGGGGGCTGAGGCAGGAGGGTCTCAAGATTGAACCCAGCCAGGGCAACTTAGTGACCTAGCTAGACCTTGTCTCAAAATAAAATATTTAAAGGAGGGCAGGGATGCAGCTCAGTGCAAAGGCCTTGAGTTCAATCTGCTGGTGTCATGGGGGAAAGGAAGGAAGGAAGAAAGAAAGGTAGCTGGTTCAAATGGAGACATGTTCAGAGTATGAAATACACACCAGCTTCCAAAGACCGAGTGAAAAAGGAAATAAAGCAAGCTCAAGAGCTGAGAGTTTAGCTCAGTGGCACAAGCCTTGCAAGCACAAGGCTGTGAGTTTGATCCCTGGTACAAAAAAAAAAAAAAAACCAAGCTCAATAATTTTTATATTTACTGCACGTTCCATGGTGATGTAAGTTTTGGGGGGCAGGGGTATTTTGAGTCAGGGTCTCACTGTGTGGTCCAGGCTGGCCTCCAACTTGCAGTCGTCCTGCTTCAGTCATCAAGAGCGCTGAGCCACCACACACAGCCAAATGACAACATTTGATTACATGAAATAAAATCTGTTATTAAAATTAGAGTCACTTGTTTCCTTTTATGTAATTTAATGTGGAATATTTAAAATGACACAAGTGGCTCATGCTGTATTCCTATTGGACAGCTCTGGTCTAGAATATTCGCGAGGTACTTTTGTGAATTGTTTTTCAATTGACTGACACTGCGTATCTAGGGGCTACCATGTGATGTTTCAATAGCACTCTCGAGGTGCTAGAAGACAGGAGCTACCCTGGATTCTGATCTGCATTGCCTGGGATCAGGTGGGTGAGCGCTGGTTTGTGTGTGTGGGGGGTGGTGGTGGGGTGTGTGGAAAAAAACTCAACCAAAAAACAATAGCGGGGCCTCCTGGTTTGATAAATGGGAAGCTTGTGACTTTTATCTTCCTGTTGTCTGTGGCTGCTTTGTTTTACAGCTGCAGAGTGCAGTTGTGACCGAGCTCATGGGCCACAAAGCCAAGAACATCTGCTCTCTGGCCCCGTGTGGAAGTTTCCCCAATCTTGGTTACGAAGAAGTAAACACAGGAATACACACAGGCACACACGGAAAATGGGCCTGAAACTGGATCCAGGCCCAGGAGCTGGGTGTGGTCATATCCTCAGGTTCTTTTGGTTTCGCTCTTAGACTTTATCCATGCTTTCTGAATTTTCTGCAATGAACCTAACGACTCGACAAGTTGGCATGCTATGGCCCATCATACTTCAACAGATTTTGTTGAAAGAAATGAAAAAGAGAAAGAAGAGGAGGAGGAGGAAGAGGAGGAGGAGAGGGTCTTAATAATTTCAAAATGAGGAGGAAAACTGCCCTGAAGTTGCCATGAAGAGCAGGGTGCCACGATCCATTTGCACTGTATGTGCCAGGGGCAGATAGAGAAGACTTCCCGGAGAAGGCCTACAGGGGCAGAGGGAGGATGAGGAGCATCTGGGCTCTCTGGGGTGGGGAGGGGGCGGGGCTTCCCACCTTGTTTCTGGCACCTTCCTTCCAGAACTGCACCTCATACTGCAGATCCAGGGCAGGTGTGCAGGACGGCAGCTGGTAGGTGGCATTGACACTCAGCATCTTCTCCTTCGGGGTGAGCACCAGGATGGGCGGGCCCAGCTCCACTTGCAGAAGCAAAACAGGCCCTGTCAGCACCTGGGAGGGGGTCTCCATCCCCCACCGCACCCAGCCCAGGGAGGCACCCAGCCCAGGGAGTGTCCTGTCCTCGGGGAGGAAAAGGCCTCCTCGATGCATTGTCAGACACTTCCTGTTACAGCTACATTATTGACACCTCTCACCAGCCCCAGAGGGAGGTGTCCGCAGGCCTGCTTGGGCAAAGGGAAAGCCGAGGCATATAGGCTGCCTTATAGGCTGCCCTGCCGGCTCAGCTCCCAGGTGACCTTTATTTGCCGTCTCTTCCCCGCGGGCGCCCTCACATGCCACTGCCCATCAGCACCCTGTCCATGTGCTTCCGGTAGCTGCTGTGACACAGGGCTGCAAACGCAGGGGCCCGCAGCAGCACACATGTTCTTCTGCAGGGATTCCAGGACAGAAGTCCAGTGGGTCTGGACTCTACCCTGGGTCTCCCAAGTGGACCCCCTGGTCCTGCTCAGGTCACTGGGCTGAGGGTTGCGTTTCCTGGCTGCTGGGCAGTGGATGGCCTCTCTCAGCCCCTAAAGGCACTGACACCTCTCATCACAGTGACCCTTAACTCCACAAAGGAAATGAAACAACAGTCCTCCACAGGTATTATCTCCCCGACTCCCTTTGGGCCCCAGTTTGTCTTTCTCCGGCTACTAGAAGCTCTGCTTTTTAGGCACCGGGATTAAATTGAGCCCATCTGGAAAATCCTGCATACACTCACTGTTTTAAAGCCCAGAACCCTAATTAAAATTCCTTTTGCCCCACAACACTGACATCCAAAGCTCTGGTGTGTCCCAGAGGTCAGAGCAGAATCTGTGGAGGGTCTTGTGCCTTCCATGATCTCTCCTCTGACTCCCTCAGTTCAAATGCAACATGCATTTACCTGAGGTTACCTGAGATCTTATCCCACTACAGCACCAACTCACAGCCACGCTAAAGGACAAACTAACTGTTCTCAACAGAAAAAAGCGGGCAGACCGAGGATGACCGCGGTAGACCTCGGGGTTCAAACACAGAGAAAGGAAAGGGAAAATGAACTCATTGGTCCTAAGTGGTTTCCAAATCCAGCCGAGTAAATTCCGTTCGGTTTCAAGGCCTGAGAATAATTCTTGGCTCCTGAAGTTGCCCTTTGAACCAAACTTTTTCCTTAAAGGCAGCAGTGTGTGCAGGAAAGCAGTTACCAGCTGCATTTTGTGTCCCCGAGAGTCTGAGCTAGCAGTGTTTCTGTGGGTAAAAGTGATTGAGAACTTTAAGGGTCTCCTTGGGTGTCAGGGGCATTCACACTGCAATATATCTCTTCTTACTGTATTTACCTGTATCCTGCTGGTTTGGTTTCTTTGGAAAACTTGGACTACACTTTCCTCGATCACTTCCATTTGCACCTGTTTCTTAATAATCATCTGGCCTTCTATCCAGCCTCCTTCCATTTTTTAAAATCAATTTGTCCTCCACCTTCACGATTTTCCTCCCCTCTTGCCCATCCAGTCTGTTATGGTTTGTAGATGTTCCCCCAAAGTCTGATGCGCTCTAGGTGGGGCTTTTCAGAGGTGGCTGGGTCTAGGGTGTGTGATACTGGCATTTACGTGGTACTGGATTAGTCCACAAATTGGTTTAGCATAGTCCTAGGTGCAGATTACGGGAAAGCTCACACTGGGTATGGGTGGCACCAACCTAAAGGTTTATAACCGGAACGGGATACAAGTGAAAGGGAGGCTTGCTTTGCTGCTGCTGTTGCCTGCTCTGGACTGGTTTTCCCCTGCGATGCCCCTCTGCTGTGCCACCCTGCCTGGCAGCCAGCCAACTGTGGACTGAAACCTCTATGAACTGTGAACCGAAATAAACCTTTCTTCCCTTCAGTTTGGGTGTCGGGTATTTTGTCTCAGCAGAAACTAAGGGTATTTTTTCCTTTGTCCACCCACTCAGACTCTTCCCACCCACCCCATTTTGAGAAGTGTGGGCAGCCAGTGTGACCTACGCCTCGGGAGGCCGCGTAGTCTTCTCCCCCTGAGACTGCCCTTCATCACTCTCCTCGTCCAAGGTTGCAAAGACCCAGATTCACAGTCAGTGTCTGTCAGCTGCCAGCAGTGTGTCCTGGCAAGTTACTTCCGAAAGACTTGCTTTATTTACGTTTCAAAAATGAGTTGATGAGGGGCTGGGGATTTAGCTCAATGGCATAAGTGCCTGCCTTGCAAGCAGGCAGTCGTGAGTTCAATCCCCGGTACTGATAAAAAGAAAAAAGACCCCCAAAAAATTTTTTTTAAACTCTTCTTTTTTTTGTACTGTGTGTGTGGGGGTCTGACACAGGGTGTCAGTATGTATGTGGTTCAGGCTGACCTCAAACTTGTAGCAATTCTCCAGCCTCGGCCTCCTGAGTGCTAGGATGACAGGCATGTGTCACCATGCCTGGATTAAACAAAAGAAAAAGAAATAAAAAAATCATTTCTTAAAGAGAAAAGCTGGGCAAGACAAAAATAGGAATAACTATTAAGAACCTTGGATTGTTCACGGCAATCGTGGGGTGGGGCAGGCAGTTACGAACCTTGTAAAACGAAGGGACCCGCTGAATTCCTGGCATTAATTGGAAGTCCCTAACTTTCTACACAAAGTCAGGCTACTAGATTTGGTTGCAGCCTGGTCGCTAGCCCCTGTCACAAGACTGGCCCACGTGAGCTGCCTCAGAGTGGAGCTTCTGTTTTGCAGAAGACGGAGACAGTATTTTTTTTTTTTTTTTGAGATAGGGTTTCACTACGCAGTTCAAGCTGGCCTTGAGCTCACCTTGTAGCCCAGGCTAGTCTCAAACTCGCAACAATCCTCCTGCCTCAGCCTCCCGAGTGCTGGGATTACAGGTGTGAGCCACGCCTGGCTTATGAGGGCCAGTTCCGAGTGTCAGTCTCACCACATGGAGAGCTGCCCAGAGAAGCTGTGAGGTGTTTCCAGAGTAGCTCGGCACCTGGGTCAGTGAGCTGAGTGGGTTTCCTGCCCCAAATGTGCCCGATGCCCACGAGGGCCCGGGTGCAACCAGAAAGTGGAAGGAGGGGAAACTGCTCTCACTCTCACTTCCTGAGCAGGTGCGCGTCCTGCTGCTGACGCTCTCAGGCACTGACTGGGCTCTGGGTTTTCCAGCCTTTGGACACGGACTGGCAGCACCCTCAGGGACTTGGAGGCTTCAGCCTCAAATTTCTCTCATTTGGAGGCTTTTGGTTTCTTGGACGGAGCAACTGCTGGTTTTCCAGCTTTCTGGTCTGCTGGCGGCTCCTGTGGGACTATTCAGCCTCCTCAGAAGCAACCGAATCAATCCTGTCTTAGCACTGCATGGGTTCTGCAGGCTCTGTTTCCCCAGGGACTGCACTGGGTGCAGCTCCAAGGCGAGGGGCCCCCACCTGTGCCTTCCTCACACCTACCTTCAAAGAGGTATTCCAGGTACTGAGACTCTGCCCAGGGGGACCTGGCACCAGCAGAGGCCGCCTGCACACGTCCTTTGAACTTGTTGTACAGGTCCTGTTTCTTCAGGCACATGAGGGAGCACACCAGCGCCTCGGTTGCCGAACACCGCTGCACTCTGCGCCACCGTCTGGGTGTGTGAATGCTGGGTGGGGAGAGAAGAGAGTGAGCCTTGGGCTCGGCCTTTCTGATGGGGAACAGCAACTGTGTGACTGCACATCCCTCCATTCAGCCCAAATAGCCACTGATCCATCCATCTGCCATCCATCATCTATCCATCATCCATCCATCCATCCATCCATCATCCATTCATCCATTCATCATCCATTCATCCATTCATCACCTATCCATCCATCATCCATCCACCCATCTTCTATCATCCATCCATCATCCATCCATCATCCATCCATCCATCCATCATCCATTCATCCATTCATCACCTATCCATCCATCATCCATCCACCCATCTTCTATCATCCATCCCTCATCCATCCATCCATCCATCACCTATCCATCCATCATTCATCCATCCATCTTCCATCATCCATCCACCATCCATCCATCCATCTTCTATCATCCATCCATTCATCCATCATCCATCCATCCATGCATCATCCATCCATCATCCATCCAGGCAGTGTTGGCTGGGACAGCCTAAGAACTGTCTGGTTTGGGAGCCAAGCAGTTGTGGATGGAAATCCCAGCCCTGCCTCTCTTGCTGTGGGCTCTCAGGCAAATCAGTGCTGCTAAACCTCGATCTCCTCATCCTCAGTGCCTCCCCCACAGGCTATGGTGGTGACTTCTCTTGCAAGCACTCATGAACATTTTCTTTATACAGCCACAAAAGGGCCACCTGTGGTATAGATGTCAAAGGGGGGCATGCAGGTCCATGACTCCAATCTCTTGAAGGCCTGGGGTCAATGAGGACACCTACCCACTGGGCACTGTTCCAGGAAGTAGGGAATAGGCATGTACCACAGATGAGGTCCTGCCCTCTGGTGGGGGGGGGGCAAGGATGGCAGTCACACCCACAAGATGTCAGGAGCTGGTAATTACAGTGACAAGAGAGTAATGTGGGGGTGACTGCTTTCAAAGACCTTTAAGACAAAGCCAGGAAGACGGCATAGGTGGAGACCTCACTGAGGAGGAGGAAGCCAGGGGATGGTGTGTGGGGAGGAAGAACAAGAACAGAAGACCTGTCCAGAAAAACAAAAGGCCAAGATAGCAGGAGCCCAGAGGGCAAGGAAGGGAGGGACGTGGCCGGTGGACAGATGGGGGGGGGGGGCCTTGGTAGTGTGTGTAAAATGTATGGATTTATTCCGAGTGTGAACAGAAGCCCCTGGAAGGTTTGAACAGGGGGGCTGCTGTGGTTGTATGGACATGTGCTTCCAAAACTCATTCACTGGAATTTAAACTCCAGGGCAGTGATATTGTGAGAGGGGCCTTTTTGGAAAGAATTAAGTCATGTGGACTCGGCTCTCTTAAATGTGATTCACATCTTTATAAAAGAGACTTCAGGGAGGCTGAGGCAGGAGGGTCATTGCAAGTTCGAGATGAGCCTGGGCTACACAGTGAGCTCAAGGCCAGCCTGAACTGCATAGCGAGATCCTGTCTTAAAAAGAAAAAAAAAAAAAAAAAAAGAGGCTTCAGAGACCTGCCTGGCCCTGCCCTTTCTTCTGCTGCAAGAGGAGACAGCGTTGTCCTTTCTCCATGTGAGGACACAGCAAGAAGGCACCACCTTGGCAGCAGGGTGCAGCCCTCACCAAGCGAGCACCTCCCTCTCAGACTTCCCAGCCTCCAGCTGTGAGAAACAAACTGCTATTATTGCTAAATCACCCACTCGAAGGTATTTTGTTAGAGCAGCACAGACAGACAGACAGATGCAGACGGGACTGAAGTGCTCTCAGATTTTTAAAAGACCTTTCTGGAGAAGCACCCACGAGGCTGCCACAGGGACCCGAAAGGGAAGGCCGGGGAGGCCCTGAGGACCGGCTGCACTCAGCTATATTTTGGAGGTATGACTGATAGAACTAACTCGCTTGTGGGTTGCGTGTGGACTGTGAAGGAAAGGAGGCTCCAAGATATTCCTGAATTTGGAGACGGAGAGGAAGACGGGTGGAGAAGATTGAGACGGGGTTGGTACAGAGAACAGACTCTTGAGAAGAATCAAATCCTGCTTTGTTTCTTGCATAGTTACATCATGTAAACAGTAACAAAAGAGAAACTGGTATCATTATTTAAAAAGAAGACAAAATATTGACTTCAAAGTCTAACACAATACTAAAATAGAGTCACTATGTAAGTATATATACAATTCCACTCACCAGGAAGACAGAAAAGTTCTAACACAGCCATGCCTATTGGACGTCTTGTTACAGACAGCTGAAATATAGGCAGTCAGCCAGGGCTGGGCCCCTGAAGGAGCCACCAGAAGGCCAGATATTTTGTAACCTTGGAAGAAACAGACACCTCCTGCGGTAGGCCAGACCTCAAGGCAAAGGCACAACAAATGCGGCCACACCCTAAGTACACACTTTAGGGACTGATATTCTAAATAGGGGTGGATCCCTTAGAGGAGGCCAGGAGTCATCATCCCAGCCCCCTACAGAAGGAGTCACTGCTCTTTAAGCATTCCCTGCTTGCTACATGACTGGCTCCCCTATTTGTTCCTAATTTGGTCGATTTTACCTGAAGTATTGGTTAACCACACTTCTGTCCCACTTCACGCCTGCCTGTCATTCCGGTTCCCATGTTATCCCATCTTGGACCCGGCTCACCTCTAGCTTTTGCTCTATAAAAGTCCCTAGAAAAGTCAGTCTTTGGCAACCCACCCAGGACCCTTCTTTCTCTCTCTCTCAGAAGTTTTCTTTCGCTCAGCAAATATGTTTTGCTCTTAACCTCTGTTGTTCTTAAATTCATTCTTTGATTTTAGAGGACACGAATTCCTACCAGACATAAGTAGGCTGCGAGTTTCATTCCCTTATATCAGTCTCACTGCTTTTTTTCTTTTTTTTCTTTTTTGATATCAGGAATCGAGCTCTCCACCTCACGCTTGCCAGGTTGGCCCTGTGCTGCTGTGCTACATCCCTGGCCCTCACGCTTCCTAAAGTGACAGTTAGACAAAGGGAAAAGAATCAGTAAACACCTGTAGCAAAGAACACCCCAATCTCAAGTCCAGTGAGGCATGTATAGAACTGCCTGAAGAGCCACATGTGAATTAACAAAATGTTAGTTGAGAGAACTGTGTGGGCCTGGCGGCGGCTGAAAAGATAAGAAGTATGAAATATAAATGACCTTTATTTTGAGAATGCGGGGAGAGACACCCCTGATCCCCTGGGGCATGGCATCTCCCCCCAGGATCGGCGATCTCTCCATGGAACACATGGAGTGGGGACATACATGTAGCTTAGGTTGGGGGTGGAGCCTGAGGGGGCATTAGGGATGCACAGGTAGCCTATTATTGGTCTTTGTTTGGCGCCACAGGTAAATTCCTAGGGGTGGGGGAGATGGAGCTCCTTGGTTCCGCCTCTAAGGCTTTACCAGCTACAGTGTCCGGCCTGGGCCAAAACTCTTTCATTAGTGATTACCAATAAAAATGTAGCAATTCTCAAGAAATTTCAAAGACTGAGATTTCCTTTGACTGCAAGTAATCTAATTAAAAGTCAATAAAATAGAGAACTAGAGAAAGTTTGAAGTTTTAAAGGTGTATTTAAAAATAATTCAGCATCAAAGAAAAAATTATGATGCAATTGGTAAATATCTAAAATTGAGGGATCACAAAATAACATAAATAAAAACTTATGAAGTTGGTGGTGTAACTCAGTGGTAGCATACATGCTTAGCATGCATGAAATCCTGAGTTCAATCCCAGTATCAGACATAGATAGACGGACAGACAGACAGACACACACACACACAAACATCCTCCAAGCAAAACAATAGCAAAAACAAATGATGTATGAGATACTATAAATAATACACAGAAGAAAATATACAGCTTTGAGTATTTACAACAAAAATAAGAAAGAATAGAAATTAATTAAGAAATTTAAGAAATCAGAAAGAGCATGCCATGAAAACATACCCACAAGCAGATTAAGACTGCAACCTACTACTTCAAAATGGGCTAAAAGACATTTAAAAATTATGCAAGACATAAAAAAACAATATAAAACAGAATTAGAGAAAGTCAGAAGGTATGTACACACACACACACACACACACACACACACACACACACACACACACAGTGTGGTCCTGCCCATTAAGTGTCCTAGTAAGAAGAAAGGAAGAGCCATTAAGAACACACCAACACAGTGAAAAGGTCAGGCAAAGTCACATCAAGAAGATGGCCATCTACCAAGATGGGCTCCATACCCAGCACATCTCTGGGATGAAACAGGGACATTATCACAAAACTGTAAACACCGGAAGAAGAAACAATACAGACACTCCTGCAAGCCTGTCAACCACCACTGTGGAACCATGGCCAGTGGTGGTCCAGGAGAACTAACCAACCAAGCTCCCACATGCCTACCCCCATCAGGTGAGCCTTGGTATAGCCTTACGTGTCTCAAGAAGCCCATCCCACACCCACTGCCTCCATGGGAACCTAGGTTAGGAGAAACCTAGGTGCCTGACCCATTCCCCTGCACTGTGGATGGGCAGCCAATGCAGGAGGTGCCTGGGATCCCACAGCTGGCTTGTCTGGAAGAGTCAGGAAAAATGTCAAGATGAAGGATCAAAAGGCAATCTCAGACCTACAACCTACACAGAATAAGTCTAGGAGACATAAAAATAGAAGTAATTGGAAGTTACATACCTGAAATTTCTGAAATGATAGCAACTGAAGTAAAGAAAAAACTTCATGAGGCTGTAATCAGATAAGAAATAATATCTCAGATACAAGAACAAATGATGACCAATGAAAGAAATGCTGGGTATATCTAAAGAAGACATAGGTTAAAAAAAAGAAGAGCATAAGAAGATGATAGAAACTTTGAACGAACAATATAGGAGTAAATTACAATGCATGAAACAGATTCAAATATCCAGGAAATTAAAAACTCCACTGAAACCTGGCAAAAACACTTGAAAGAAACTGATGATAGACTTTCAGACCATAAAGACAGGATTGCAGTTAGT